GAGGATCCATATGCCATGGTGGTGCACCAGCAGACGGTTGTTTGGATACGTAATTACTTCCCTTATTCAGGTGCTCGTTCCATCAACATTTTTACATTTAACTATCCAGCACTGACTGCTTTCAAGCAAATAAGACTAAGTCTCATTTTGACAAGCAGCCATCTGTTTAGGACTCCTGTATTTTTGGCCGTGGAATAGATCCAAACACCTCCATAGCTGATTTGAAAGCCTGTGAATCACAACCCACAAGACGTTCAAAGCACCAGAAAGCCCACAGAGTCCGGCCCCCGGCAACACATCGATCGCCCAAAGGAGTCTGGGCGAGCCGCCTGGGTCCAGCCTCAAGCAGGGTGCCACATGTTCCGAAATGGCTTCAAACAACTATTGTTCAACCATCTTCTAAACAGTTGGCTATGTTCAACCATCTTTGACTATGTTCAACCATGTTCCTCTTCGCTCCTTTCAACACCTTTCCTTTTGGCTTTCCCTGAAAGGGGAACCTTTCGACATCCGTTTGGCTTTCCAGGCCCATACCTGGAATACCGGGAAATCATAGGGGGAGGGCGCCGAGAAGGGAATCCATCGCTCCGGGCGGAAGGTCAAGGGCTCGGGATATCTCGCCGGGTCCCGACCCAGGATGTAGGGCCTGGGACTTCGACCTCCTTGTTTACCTTCCTTGAACCCACACTCACATCTTCTTGCAAACATGCAACACGCACCATAAAAATAGCCGCGTTTTCCTGAATGGCAGTTCAACTCCTTCTTTGATTGAGTGAATCACCATTTCGTTCAAATCAGTAGGGTTGGCCACAAGCCGCGCGGCGCGAAAACCACGGTGACGCCCTTGGGAATTTTGGTCCCGTCGGGAAAGATGTCGTCTGCATAGGCCTTCTTGGGGTCCATTGGCACCGGCGGCCACAGGCGTAAGGCCTCTCATTCACATGCGCAGCTGCGCACAGCGAGCTGGTGTGGGGTGGGGTAAGGTTCGGGTTCAGGTCACTTCATTTCCCCACAAAGCGGAATCCCGAGCTTCTCCCTTGCCACTTTTGACCGGGGAGCCTCGTACAGGACGCCGTGTAGATATGGCAGCTTGTTGTGCGCCAGGCTCTGCATATCGAGCGCCGCCCCTGGCGGGAGCTTCTCTTTAATTTCAGCACGCAGCCGGTCCTGTACTTCAGGGTTCCGAGCAAGCTCCAAAAATATCCAGGACAATGCACAAGCAGTCGTATCTCGACCTGCAATGACCAGATTCAACACCATTTCCTTCAGGAATGTGGTGGAATAGTTGTTTTCCTTCTCTGTCTGCAGAAACAGCGCCAGCAAGTCACGCCTCTGCAACAACCTGGGATCATCACGGCACTTCTTCACGAGGCGGTCTGCCTCTTCATCTAGCACCCGCACTGCCCTTCTGAAGGTCCGATACTGCGGCGACAAGTAGTCATGAAGGGTTTTCACCATGCCATTAAATGGCCATGGGAGAAGAAGGCCTGCAAACATGTTGAAGGGTATCACCGCTCTAGCGTGAAGAAACAAGGCGCCATGCGCTACATCAAACGCCTGGCCGTATTTGTTTTGCTGCCCCGCTTGCGTGTCCACCTCCTCGCCGAAGAAAATCTTCATGATGCTGTCCTGCACCGAAAGAAACCCAGAAGACATCATTGGATGTATTCACTAGCAGCAGCAGGGCGCTATGATTATATATATATATATACACATACATTACTTCTTGGAGCAAATCTTTGGGGGAGCTGCTTTCAAGAAAGCCAAAGGAACCCCAGCTACTTTCACTTTGGAGTCTCCCCAGAACGAAACCAAGGTTGTGTCCATGGTAAAGTTGAAGAAGCCAAGTTGGATGTCGACGGGCTCATTCTCGGGGAAGCTTTCCAGCCACTTTTGCAAGGCTTCAGCCTTCAGGGCAGCTGCAAGACTGCGAAGGTAGAAGATTTCAGCTGCCCAACAGGAAACCAAGCTGACCCAACACCAGCTTACCCATCAGGTTTGGTCAGTGTCCGGAGCAGGCCTTGCTTACAAAGACCTCCTGCATCAAGGTGTTGAAGTTCTTTCCTTGGCTTTTCCCCGGCCTCTCACTCAGCAACAACTCAGGAATGTGGCAAAATAGCAGAACATCAACAAATCGCACACCCAGTTGCGATTGAAGATCTGCGCTGAGGTCTTGCGCATGCGCGACCAGCTTTGGCCTCCGTCAGGCGATCCAACGCCATGAGGTGCCGCAAAAATCCCTTTGCCTAAGAATTGGATGAGGTAACGCCAGAACGGATCGGTAGCATCGGGCTTGGAATATTTCTGGAACTCGTCCTTCAGGAAGTGACGGATACAGTTGGGATCATTCACATAGACTGAATGTCCCTCGGTACTCCAGCGAAAACCCGTGTTCTTCGCCACAGTGAGTCCTTTGCAAATGTCAACTCTCCAATCATGAATCCGATGGAAGTTTGCCCTCATGCTTTTCAGCCACTCCATAGGGCCCTCGTTCCCATGGCCAGCGGGCGTATCTTTCAGCATTCTGCGGATTCGAAGCGAACGTGTCCACCCAGCCACAATGCGATAGGCCACCTGCACCAAGCCGAAGGCTCCATATGCCAAGAGGCTGTTCACCAGAATTTGCTTCTGCTGAGCCTTCATGGGGAGCTGGGCCCGCTACTTGATCTGAACAGCTCACAAACGCCTGACAAGCTCTGCACAAGTCGACAGAACTGCCTCGGCTTGTTGAACACTCTACTGCTTTTAGGCACGTTGTGATTTGCCACAAGCAAGCAAATGTCAGGTTGTGTGGTCAGCGCAGCTGGCCTGTTGGCACTTGGGGTGTGGGAATCTGAAGCGTCTCCTGTCAACTATCATTCAACGGCTTCACGAAGGTAAGCTTCTGTAAAACATGTCCATGTCGGATTTTCTTTGGGCTTCCTCAACCTTCTGTTTCATGTGAGCTGCTGAGTTTTTTTGGAAGATGCTCCGTGCAAACTTTCGCAGATAAGAATCGGGCACGGTCAATGTGACAGGTTGCTCTGATTGCTCTGGTAACACTTGCACCTTGGCCGTTACCTGAGCTGGTGCTAGTCCCTGTCTTTTTCTCCAGTATCCATGCTTTGCTCGTGCCCCCTCACCCGCCGCCCCAGCTTCGCAGACACCAACCTTTTCCGATCTTTGGCTCCGTCTTCCCCAAGGAAGCCGCGGCTCGGCAAGGGCGAGCCAACAACATGGCGAAAGTGGGGTGTATCGATGTGACTAACATGGAACCTGAAAGAGGGCCAATGTCTTCCATGGCCTCCAGTCATATTAATGTCGGCTTCATTCTGGTCGTTCTGACCCCTGCTTTTTGTATTTTGCCTGCAATTGTCTGAAATCCGCTTGAAGGGGTGTTGACCAACCTCAGCTCTCAGCTTACTCCTCAAAAGTGATGATGTTTCTGGTACGGATGCTGCAGGCTGAAACTTAGAACCAACATCTGAAAAATGGCCAGGTGGAATCATTTGAATTGTGGCACTCGACCGAATGGGAACAAGAGGTAGGTTGACCATCTCTTGCCGAGCGATCTGGCAAGCAGGCTTCGCAAACTGCTGACGGCATCTGCTTGCAGACTGCCTCCCGGCGCAGAGGTTGCAAAGACCTTGGTCCTCCACTCTTGTGGATATGGGACACAGCAAATTTTCCGTCATGATTGCCCCTTTTCAGGTGGCACGTTTTGTGGCAGAGTCAGCTTCCTCCATGGTCTCTTTTCGGGCTGAATTCACAGCTAGCTTCGTATTCCAAGGCGCCATGTCTTTGCACCCCTCTGGCTAGAGCTGCGAAAGGCAAGACAACTCCACCAGTTGGTGCGACCTCAAACAATTCTTCACATCCTGTCCAATCAAGACTGGGGCACAAAAGCTGGAGAAACCAGCTGCGCTGGGTACTTTTCGTTTCAAAGACATCTCTGAGGTGAATAGCCATGATCCAATTTCTCCACGTATATTAGCTTTTTCCTCAAAGGGCTAATTCGAGCTTCTGGAGTTCACGCAGTGAAGTTCCGCCGCTTGATTCAAAAGCAAGTCCAACATGCAGCTACTGGAAAATGACAGTGGTGGCATGTTTCCAAGTAGGTGAACCTGGGTGAATCCATTCGGAATATGCAACCTGGCAAAGAAGTGCCCATGCCCTTGTGACTTTCATTAGGCAACCAAGCATCCAAGACGGGTGAGTGAGCAGCCAACACAGGTACACATCAGCAATCTCATAGCTCAAACTTGCATGTAATCCAATCTCAATTCTAGTTATGCCATTGACCCCAGGAGCTGAAGCCTCAGAAACTTCTCAATCGCAGTGAACGTGGACGTCTTGCCTTCAGTGAAAGCGCCAGCACATTTATGAGCTTCCCAAAGCATTAGCAAAGGCAACCCGGTCAAACTTTGAACAAACATCAAATCTGCCATCGCAGCTAGGGTGGGGCGAAGCTCTTGCATGCCCACACCTTGCTTTTCTCATTCATTGCGGGTCAGTTGAAGTTCTTGAGCCGTGAGTTGGTTGAACACAAACAACTTCGCAGCCAGCATGCGCTTTCGCTGTTCTTTAGGAACTCAAATGCTCGGGCGAAGGAAAATGCATCCACTCAGGCGGATCTACTGAAACTTTCAGCGCGCGAAGCCTTTCTGGGCGAGGCTGGCAGCCTAATTGAAAATCTAGACGCCAGGGACGGGCAAAAGGAAAGACGGGAAGACAGCGCATGAAGATGCTCACGTGTGAGCCTTGCAACTCGAAGTTCTACTAATATAAATACAGTATTCTGTGCATTGAACGCCATTCACGCAGCTTAGTCTTGCTTTGAATGTAGTAGTTGATACTTGCAAGCTTACAAATGGGCTGCCTGCGTTTCCCGGATTCCCACTTCTCTTCGACTTCATAAGTGCCTTAGTGATCTTCCGGGGCATCCCTGGACCTGAGAAACCTGAGACTTCTTAGCTCATTCCCGGCGTCACCGGCCCACGGTACGGTGAGCCGCAGGCACGTTATCCTGGGCCTCTGTACTTTCGCACCATCTCGCGCCGGTGTGAAGGATCGACACTGTTCCGTACCTGGCCAGGCGTGATCGAAGGGTCTTGAGTGACTCCTCAACTTAAGAGAAGCTCAGGCAAATCCCAACCTTTCTGGAGGGGAGTTCCCGTCACACCAATTCAAAGAGGGATTTCAGCTTCGAGGGTAATGACAACATGGCCACAAAGTGGATCCACTCACTTTGAACTTTGGCTGGACCCAAAAACCTTCATGGATCATCTGCATGCCTGAAAGTGCGCGAACAAGCGCTTTCAAAGTTGTTCAAGAGTCGATGCCCCACTGAACCCAAGCACAGTTGTTCCAAACCAGGACGTCCGACCGCAGACCGTACTTCGGAAATCCAGAAACCAGCCGACCAAGACCCCCAGCTAGCATTTATAAAGAAGTTGCCAAGGAATAGACACTAGATAAGCCGATCAAGAGGAACCCTCAATTCAATACATCAGCTGCCAGCTCCTGGATATCTTGTGCAGTTTGATTGGAGTTCTTTCTGCAACACACACACAAACAAACCCTCCCAATTTGGGATGTGGTTTCAACTCTTGATCCAACCGAGTATTACACTGATTTGTGATTTGTTGCAATCCTGCTAGACAAATGCCACCGAATGGCTCTTGTACCAAGCAGTCAAAGGCGCTAATCCAAGAAGCGATCAGCTGTTTTAAATTGTTTGTGCCACAAACAGTGCGACAGAAGCTCTTTTGCCAAATGGGTGTTCCAAAACTTGGAGAACCCTAAGTTATGCTTGTGAATCTCCTGTTTCTCTGGAAGCACCCCATTGAGCAACATCCAAAGCCTGTGGACTGTTGCTACCTACCAAGATGTTCAATTATATCTACTAGGCGGCAAACCTCAAAAATGACAGCAAGGGCATTTTTTTCCAAGCCCCATGTTCAAACCTGTGTAACCATCCATTGTTGCCGGGGTCTCCTTTTCGTTGCCCTTGGCCCACATCTGCGGTATTCCAACAGTATTGGTTTCAGAATATGTTTCACATTTAGACTACTTAATATATATATATATATGAGCAACGGCTTTTATTTGTTACATGGCATAATGGACGGGTGTTCCTGACTCGTTTTCCAACCCCGCGCTCGGTCGCAGCCCCCTATCTCGTTTTCCAACACCGCGCTCGTTTTCTCTGGCTCAACTTTCTGTAGAGCTTGAAGAAGAGGAGCTTAAAGAAGTAAACGAGCTTTGGTTAGCTTGCAGCCTCCTTTGTCTCCTTCGTTGTTGCCGCACAACCTTTCGCTAAGCAAACTGCTGCTACACAATTTGTTGAAAAGTAATACTTGAGAGGAGGAACTGGGCCAATACTCACTTGGACGCTGTAGGGGACTCGTTCTGAACGCGTTTTGAACTCGTTTTGGAACTCGTTTTAACATGGCCCGTTTTTGGACGGCTGAAAATTGCCCAGGGGCAAATCTTAAACAAACCAGCTACGCTGCTTCTTCGCAAGTTTGCTTCACACCCTTTTGCAGTTAGGCATCGTAGTACTTGCCCCGGAAAGTCTGTGGTAAGTTGCCACGGACCATGCGACGTAGGTCGTCTACTCTACACTACATCTAACAACCTTGAACCCAAGACGCTCTGCCAGGCTGCACTTGCCAAAATGTAATCCTAATCCATGTTATCATGCTTGTTTGCCCTATCTCGTTTTCGGGGTGTTCCCCAACTCGTTCTGCGGCTAAATATGCACATTTCCAAAAAATAGTTCCAGCCCCTTGCATGTTTCCATTAAGGTAAATAAAGTTAGTCGCTCAATATATATATATATATATATATATTATATATGTACAAAATGGCTTTGGAGGAGACCTCAGTAAACAAGTTTTGCAGACCACCCTCGCTGTTTCCATAACTCCTTGCAGCTCTTCCCCGCGCGGGCGCGCCCCTCGGATTGCAGTTGCCGCTGCCGCGGTGGCACCTGCCGCGATCTCAGCTGCAACCGGTGGCCCTTTCGACAGAAAACCTGTTCGGTTGGTTGACCATTTTAAGGGTTGACTAGTATTGACTACTTGTAATTAGCGAGGATTAAACCATGTTTAGGGTTGGTAGATCATTTGCGGGGATCATTATTTTGGCTTGCTGACGATGTGTAGTGGGAAACCCACCAAACTCAAAGGGATGAACAGCTCCACTGAACAGCTGGGTTTTTGTCTGTCGGGTTGGCTTGGCGAGAACTCCGGCTTGAAAGCCTGGGTCGTAAGTGGGAAGGCGCCCTCAAAACCTTCAACCAATTCGCCTGTGCGATCCATTGGTGCAGTGCACAACTGCTTCAAGCTGTGTGTGTGTGTGTGCGTGTGTGCGTGGAGTATGTATAGGCTAGAGGCGAGCGGTGTCAAGTTAAGGGAACTGACATCAAGCCGCATTTCAATAAGGCTTCAGTTGGCATGAGGCATGAGGCAAGAGCAAAGAAGAATGCATGGGTATGAATATACATAGTTATCGTCTATCGTTCAATGAATGCTGGCTTCTCCTTGGATAAGCAATAACGGACGGCTAACTCGAGAAGTCCATGTCAGTGCCTCCCCTCCAGTCCCTACCCCTAAAAAGGGCAATAAATCAAGGCATCTAGGCCCTCCTGAACTTGCTGAACATTTGCCTTGTCCAATATTTGTTACGAACCAAGGAGCACACCAACCACTCAAACGCTTAAAAACTGACGATGAACTGACGCAGTTTACGTGTGACTCCCTGTCTGGGATTCCAGCACAAGCTGTTACTTTTCCGGGGTAAAGTGGGCAACGATCATCCAGGTTACCACTAGGTGGGTCTTTGACACCCTTCAACCAATGGGCACTGCCAAATTCCAAAAGACTACAAGGTCCCATCCTGTGTTCGCCTCTACGCCACACCCAATGGGTTCAAACAGCTGGCCCCATTTTATGAATATCATAGTGTGATAAGTCACCCCAATAGAAAGTAACCCTCCCCGGCAAGTGAACATGATGTCTTGTCTTTATGAATATCATGGTGCTCAAAGGTATAGTTTCAGGTTCTGACTTTGATGCCCCCCCTCCAGCCTAGGGCTGGCCGCAGGACGCACATGGGGATGCCGCTCACCACGGAGCGCAGGACCTGGCGAACTTGCTGACCACAAGCGACCTCCAGTCACAAGAACTATCACACAGGGAGAGCGGAAACCAAGGGGAAACCAGTTGTCAGCAGTGCGTCGATGGTTCTCATTTTGAGGTAGCTTCAGCTTTGGGCTTTGGCTCCCGCCCAAAGCTTCCCTCTTCGCGCTCCCGATGTGCAAAAAGATTGAGAACAGAAGGCAAACATTGTGTCTGAATCTCACACAGTATATAAACCCCAAAGGACATTTTGGCAAGACTAATCACCTCTAGAAGCAGCAAACTGAATAATATTCGGACCAGCCGGCTGCATCTGACTTCAAGCACCTTGATGCTGCACTGTGCGACTGGAAGGCTCCCACTTGGATTCTGTGGCTCATTGACAAAGCCTTTGTAAGCTTTCTTGGTCAAATGACAAGGGACCAGCGTCCCGCCTGCTCACACTTGAAATGCAGCAAATTCATCTCTTCCATCTACTCACGGTGCAACTGTCCCTCAATTCAGCATTTGTCATCTGGGATGCAAATTTGTGAGCCGCAGCTCACCTCTGACAGGTGCTCAGGTCGAATGCTATATCCAAGTTCCGTAAGCATCGCACAGATCGGGGCATAAGATTAAGGTGCAAACAGCCAGCCAAACAAATTAGAAACAATCTGACCGCGGGTTGATTGATCCCTGTTCCGGACGGATTTCCGAGTTGCTGAACATTCACATGTGAGGAGCGGTGCCGTGAGAGCAACTGTTCTTCTGGCAAAGCCGTGACGTAGTCAAGCTGCTACTTTGGGTTTGGGCAGTGGAAGGGGTCCGCGTCCCAGACTGCTGGCTTATAGATAGCTTAGACTCGACCAGAACCAACGAAACAAACCACGGATCGGATGCAACTAGATTCAATCAACACGTATGCACATTTTTCTTTCAAACGATTTCTTTGCTGTACATCATTTACATGGGGGCTTTCTGCCTCCCACGAATCATTTCAGACGTGGTTCATAGCTGCATCTCTGGGCTGCACGTGGCGCGCGCCTGCTCCTTTGGCGCCCCGCGCTGAATCTCCAGCAGCGGCCGGACCTTAAATGGGGTCGAAGCACTACCCTCCCAACCCGACGCCCAACCCCTTTTGAACTCTTCGGGTTGATTATCTTAGGATAATGATAGGGCACACCAGGACATGTGGCAGCCACATGGGCTCCCACCCACTAATGTGGCAGCAAGGGGCTCGTGTTAAGAGCAAAGTTGTCTTCCAGGGGACCTTCAGTCAGATTCTATTTTAGTGGGATCAGAAACTAAAAAAAAGAGATACGGAACACCTCAAGAACGAATCATTTTGGGTGAGCTCAGGCGAGCTTGTTGAAATGCAGGTGGGTACCAGGGATTGTCTGCTTGTTTGTCATCCTCGGATCGAGAAAAGTGGCAGATCTACAAGCGGGGTGCTTTGCCAACACATGGTAAAACCCGGGTATATACGGTCAAGGGTTCGCAAGTCCCCCCCCCCGCCCCCCTCCCCCCCCCATCGTTCCCAGTCCTCCCCCCCCCCGTGGTGTGGTTGGGGTGTGGTTTTTTAGGGTTGGTTTGTGGTTGGTCTAAGATCACCCCTCCCCCCCCTGTGGTGGGGTTGGGGTGTGGTTTAGGGTTGGTTTATGGTTGGTCTAAGACCACCCCAGCGAGGTGGGGTTGTAGTGGGTTAGACTTGGTTTAGGGTTGATCTAGTTGTAGTGGTTCAGGCTGGTTTAGGGTTGGTTTATTGTGTGTTCAGTGTTGGTTTAGGATGTGTGTTTTTATCCTTGGTGCAGGGGCGGTTTCGGTTAGTTCCGGAATGATTTAGAGTGTGTTTAGTGTTGGTTTAAGATATGTGCTTAAGATATGTGCTTAGGGGTTGGTTTAATCTAAGGTTGGTTTACGGTTGATTAAGTTGGTTCAGGCTTCGTTTAGAGTGTGTTCAGAACGTGCCAAGTGTTGGCTTAAGATGTGTGTTTCGAGCTAGTTTACGGTTAGTTTAGGAATAGTTTGGGCGCAGGGCGTGCGGAGGTGTGGGTTGAGGGGGTGAAGGGGCCGGGGTCTGGGGACCGCAGCAGCAGGGCCTCTCCTGGGGGTCGGGTTCGGGGGCGGGGGGGGGGGGAATACCATTAGGGGGGGGGGGACTGGGAACCCGGAGCCCGGGACCATATATATATATATATGTATATATATATATATATGTATACATATATATATATATATGTATGTGGAGTATACACATTATAGATACCCACACGTCGCTGCTGTGTTGAAGCTGCGCCTCAAGCAAGCCAGCATATTACTAACATACGTATTTTAACAATGTCTACAACTTACGTATAATACGTGCGCACCATGCTCTGGTTTGGGCCGGAGTGAGGCTCCCGGCTAAGAAGGGCCCAGCCGTGCGCAGGCCCTGCGTGAAGCTGGAGCCCGCCTGGAGGAAGGTGGCCAGGTGTTTGGGAAAACTAATGGATGTTTCTCCTAAGGGCCCGTAAAAATTGGTGGTTTCCCTTCAGCTCCATTTGCACCAAAAGAGGGCCGACCAATTGCAGACCAACCATGTATTGGCCTAGGATCAGCTGAGGGAAGGCGTCGTTGAGGAATCCACTGGTAGCCTTGTGAGCTGGTCGGGATTCCGAACAGGGACACTTGTTTTGTGGTGAGCGGGTCGGATGACAATTAAAATCTAACAACACGAAACCTGTCGGGTGGGGAACAAAGGGGAAACCGCTGGGCACGACTCAAGGGTTTTGACTTCTCCGGCCTCTTGCAGGCCCTCCGCAGCTCCGCCAGGCTGCAAGAAATTGGCAGAACCTGCCGCTTCCGCTTGCCCCATTTGACTACTCCGCTTGGAATGGACATCGAAAGGAAGCGGATCTGCTTCAGAGGCTCCCCAGTTTAGGACCTGCCCCTTTGAACTTTCTCGGACAACCCCAACAAAAGCTTTGAAGTAAGCACTCCCATTTCCACCTGCAAAATCGGCCAAACTGATGGGCCCAGTACGATGGCCAGCCACCTGCCAAACATTCAGACAGCCCATTCTGAGAGGAACTGAATGCCAATTATACAACCCCCACCTTCAGGGGATGTTTTCAAAAGGGACAATAGCAATACAAATGGAGCTCCAGTCTCCGGGGTCACCCTCCGCAATTTGACTAATGGGGTGGGGAGCATGTGACGGATTCGCATCGTTCTGCCTCGCTCCACGGGAAGCCAGTCTCCGGCACTGCCCGTGCCTGAGCCATCGACCCGAAACGGAGTAAAGGTCGTCCACACCAAATGGAAAGGGCCCCTCTGATGGATCACTCTTCTTTTACAGTCTGGGCGCACGACCTAAAGTCGGATTGATCTCGGCCGTTGGGGCGCATGGGGGATAACATGCAGGAAGCTTCACGAAGCACATGACATTGGACATGGAGGGTTGAACAATACCGACACGTCGGCAGCCGCAAAGAAGTGCCGACCAGTCAACGGCTTGGTTGGCCGTGTAGTTGCTGTGATGTGTTTGGGCTTTGTTTGTCGTGCGCCCCCTTTTCCTCGTCAGGTTGCCGCTTGAACTCAAAACGTCAGGAGTGGTCGCCCAGTGTCCAAACAAACACCAGGCATGTTAAGTGGGTACACTATCGCACGTGCAAAAGAAGCATATTGTTGTGGGCCTGCTTGGGACCGACAGTGGTAGCGCTTTCCAGGTGCAGGCCCTGTACGTCCTCGTCCTAAGGCTGCTAAATGAAGGCTTCCTGTTGTCAGTATTGCTCCTGATGTTTGATGCACATTCTTTGAGGCAAGGTGTGATTCAACTAGTGAGTTCAAGCTCAAGGCAGCCTTACATGGCGCCGAGGTGTATGCTTCGGCAACCAGACTCCCCCCCCTGCCGACAATGGCTGAGTGACTTTTGGAGCTGCGGCCGTGGCCCCCACTGCGACTGGGGCCGTGACCTGGGCCTTCGAAGTGGGCGTCCAGACTGGGCTCCGGCCTGCGGCATGCGCGAGATGGGTGGGGGGAAAGCAGCCTGCAGGGTGCAGTGTTTGGTTGCCAAAACATATACTCAGGGGACCGATCATGCCATTGATGAATTCAAACATAAACATTAAACTCAAACACATGCGCTACAACGGACCTCTTTCTTTGCGTGTTTGTCCTTTCGGGGAGAGTGCAGTGAGTGCAGGGTGCAAAAACAAGAAACACATGCGCTTGTTGGAGCGCTACGTAGGCTACGATACGCCAAATCACCGGCGGGGGCGGGGAGGGCTGAACACCATGCACAAACATGTGGGAGAGACATATGCTTGGCATATGTTAGCCATTCAGACTTTGCAGACTTTTCGGCTGTAGGATAGCTAGTGTGACGTGCTTTGACACCAAGAGAGGTTGCACAGAATCTGATCTTAGCAAGTGAACGTGAGTGTAGCATGTCGCCTCTCATTCAATCATAACTTTCTAGAGGCGTTGCAGAACATTCCAAACAATGGAATGAATTCCTACCGCCAGGGTATGTATATGTGATGTGGCGTGTATGTGTTTGTTCTTGCTTCCTTGCTTGTCATGGCTTTGCTTTGCTTTGCTTGCCTGCTTAGTGCGGAACTCGTGTGGCTATAAGAGTGCGATGTGGCCAATGACTCTGTGACACAAGTGCAAGGGCTGGCACCCGCCGGCATCTCGAAACAAAAACTGGCATTTTCGTTTATGGACAGGGGATACGACCCAGCCCTTCCATCAAAATTTAGCAGGCGCTTGTCCATCACCCGATGTTCATCTCATTCAACAAACAATGACATGATATGTCCGATGATGCATGATTTTGATGCATCTCATAAGCGGCGACATCAGTGTGGAAGACCTCACCAGCAGTCAAAGGAAGCATCAGGGGCACTGAGTCCTTCTCCGTGATTCAGCTTTATGCGCGGCAAGTTGGGCTTTATGTTGTCCTTCCATTCTCACTTTTGCCACGCATGCCCGGTGGAGGGCACACAAGGTAGCACCAGCTCCCGCCTCGGCTGCCTCTTCGGTTCTGCCCCCATGCCTCGGCGAAACTACCGTAGTTCCCAAACTGGAAATGAGCAATCGCCAAGGGGTCTTCATAAATTGGGCGAGCTCGTTTTACCCCCCGGATGGGTGTGCTCGTTACAGAGCAAAGGGGGTCAACTAGTTTCACATGTCTAATTACATTGACCGCTGCTAAGACTCAACCGGGAACCAATGATGCACCCTTGCTGATCAGCTCGGAGCAACCGTTCCAAGCCGACTCTTCACGTCAGAGTGTCTTTCAAGGGAGAAAGAGGGGAAAATTGCTTGCAAATCTGATCAATCCAAAGTTGACATGCCAGTTAATCCTCACAAGGCTTTGTCCCCTTGTCACACGCCAGATCATAATTCCTATTGTCAGTCCCTATGTGCAAATATCTCGGCCCTCTCAGTCATCTCTCTCCATCCATCCGACTATGGATCCAGTTTTCTTGCATATTGCAAGCAACCCATCTAGTGACTAATCATGCTCAACCACAGAATTCCTTGAATTCACGTTAGACAATCCACTGTTTCAACCGTTTTGTTGAAGACCGCTGGATCTACAGCCGAAACGCAAGTGCAACCTGAGGCCCTTGGCCAACTGCCAACTGAGCCATGGATTTGTAAAAGATACATGATGCACCCGCCTTTGCCTGATAGAACCCTCTCAAGTGTTGAAGGGAATCAAAGAGCGTTGCCGAGACCACACAATTTGGTTCATCAGGCTGCATGATTGACTGAGACTCCAGGCGAGTATTGGCATACTCCAGCGTCGCCTATCACTTGCCCCCTTCCGCAAACCTCCAGATTACAGGTATCAAGCCATATTCCTGACATAAAGGCGCACTGGCATATATTGTTCCGTTTTCAACAATGAGTCTTGTGGTTGCTCTGATCACAGAGCAAGTATTGGTTTCTTTAGCTAGATGCGCACTTGCATACGGGATTCGGGCTTGATGCCTCTAAGCACATTACCCTAACCCCATTCCAAACAAGCAAACCATACGCAGCACAGTAACGTTTGACACAACAACGATTCCCAAACTCGGAACCCATGCTGGCCAGCAATGTCATGAGGCCAACACGGCTTTGAGGCCCGCAACATGGCTTTGAGGCCCTAGACTGAGATACCTGATTCGTGGAGAAGCATTCAAGTCCTTCCCGGATTCATTAGCGGGACCTGCAGTTGTCGAACACCTCGAGATTCAAAGGGTACCTAGATGCCCCCTAAGGCTGAGGGACCCAGAGGACTGTCTTGCGCTTGCTGGGACTTGTTTAACCAAAATCCGTTGGCTTCCTTTCTTTGGATCAGCAAACCATTCTCATTGCTTTTTGCCATTGAGCTCCCTTTTTGCAGTTACAGAAGCAGCCCCTTGAAATGCAATTTGCAATGAACCGTCGCGCAATTTTCAAGGAAGCCATCCCAAGTAGTGCTGGAAGGCCAATTCTGCAGAAGACGACTGATCCAACGCAACCTATCGAGCATTCCAGCAAGTGGGCCTGTGCACCCACAAGGACCCTCTCGGTGAGGTCAATGCTCTCAATCGTCATGTGCCGGAGGAAGGAGACAAGGCCTGAGACGTCGCTGGCCCAAAAGGAGCCTCACAATGTCTGTCTGCAAGTTTTATGAATGAACAACTTGCAAACTGCGCCCTATGGGCAGGGGTTGGAGGGTCAGAATGACTCATCCCGCATGCCGCTGGCATTCCCGGAAAACCGCACTGGTCAACATGAGCAAACAACAAGGCAATGTTTTTCAATTCAGCGCACTTTTTCCAGGGCATATTCCTGGGTTCTCAAGGAACCTCGCTCACCTTGATTTCATTTGATTTTCCAGATAAAAGTCTTTAGCCACACTCCCTAAACAAAACCTGACACCACAAAGGACCCCAAACAAGCCTCTCATTGACTCATTTGTACGGGACTCCATTTCGGGGATCCCTCAACTCGAGGAGTCACTTCTTTCTTTCCTGTAGATATGCTCAGCAAGGGCCTCTGACAAACCTCCACTGTGCCACACAGGCCGTGCCTCGCAGCATGGTCCGAGAGACCCGCTCGGCATCTTCGCCTGTCGAACTCGCGCCTGCTGCCCCTCCCCTTCGCCCGGATCTCTCCAGCCATAGCAGCTAAAGGATGCAGCTATGGGCAGCATGGCAACTGAACAAAGGAACCTCAGAAGGGCTCCAAACAAATCAACCATTGCAGCCCTTCTGATTTACGAACAGGTTCAAACACACTTCCTGGTTGGTGTTCATAGTGGCCGCGTCTTAAATGCCCGTACCATCCCAGTTCACCTGCAAGCATCAACTCGCCCTGACGTCAGCGCCCCTCAGTCAGAAAGACCCTTCCGCATGGGTCAAAGCGGTCTCGTCAACCCGTGTTGCCAGTGCTTCACCCGCGGCGTTGCTCGCCTGCGCGATATTGCTTCAGCGGCTCCAAGACCTCGGAAGCACAAGACGCAGGCGAGGCCCTCGTGGCAAGATCTTTGCAAAGGGAACAAGGTCCACTGATGCGTCCAGATTCGATCACAAACACAGGGAGAGTCACATGTGTCACATGGGTGTTTGTTGAGTTGTGGCAGTTTGCAAAAATTGAGCAGATTCATCCCAATAGCAATTCGGCACCGGACTTCAAGCCTCTTGTTCAACAAACGCTCCGAAACAATGACATGCGAGTTGCTCATATAATCCGTTTCCATCAATTTACCAACCCCGAGCCTTACGCATCCCCTCAGGCTGAGGCCATTTCCGCGAAGCCCCCGCCGATGTTGGCAATGGAACGAATCGGCGTGACCCCCGTCCTCAGACATTGAAGTTGACTGGGCTACCGGGCGCTGTCGTCCTTTCCGGTCAAGTCGCAAACTACATCATGCCGCAAAACTAGGTAGCCGGCTGTCATGCCGCCCTTGCGAATATGCAATTGACATGTTGAACATTCCCTGCGATTTACAGTGTATTCTGATTTGTCTTATATTCCGGGCTTCTGCGAAAAAGTGCATGCCAAAACTAAAACCCTGCCGACGTAAATCAGTGAGCGTGTGAAAGACAACCGACGTTTCCAAGACACGAGCATGCACCAGTGAGCAAGCGACAAGCGTAGCTGATATACAAGTATCCAGAGCAAGCCATCGACGCAACACGCTCCAAGAAAATCTGCCCGCGCTGAGACCGCGCCAGTGTGAGACAAGTTGGGCGTGAGAAGTCCGCCGTGAGCTCATGTATGTAGAACGTTAACACACGTGCCAGCATGTGCGCATGTAAGCCTGCAGCACGTGGACGGGCACATTAACATATGTGCCAGCATGTACGCAAGTAACCATAAAGCACGTGGACTGGCACGTTAACCTATGTGCCAGCATGTGCGCATGTAAGCCTGCAGCGCGTGGACGGGCACGTTGACATATGCGCCAGCATGCACGCAAGTCTCCATGCAGTGCGCGGACGGGCATGTTAACATATGTGCCAGCATGTACGACACAGGCAGCCATGCATCCTTTGGACGGCCGTTGCGACGCAATTGGTATAATATGCCACAAATAGCAGTATATTTGCAAATTCCTGCACGAATTACGCGAAACAACGGACCGAAACCTGCGTTTTGGGCTCATGAATGGCCAAACACAAAACGGGAGTTTTGCACGCAAAAGCATGGAATGAACGCTGGCGTGGAAGGAAAAAGCTTAAAACAACGCAGGGTTTTTGAGAGTCCGCATCAAGAGAAGGGGAACAAGGACAACGAAAAGTAGCCAAAAATAGGGTTTGGGCGGCGGGTCAGCCGGCTGGCCAAAACTACAATCATGTTGCCAGGCAAAGATGTTGCCAAATCTGTTGACCCAGTCTTGGAAGAATTCACCCATTTCAGGGTTCTCACTCGCTATGCCAGGTGCACCTGCCAAATCGTGAGTCACAAACAAAGCCGGGATCAAATCAGCTAAAAAAACATGTCAGGGATCACGAAAGCTTCTTGCTACTCGCCTCTTTCAGCTGAAAAAGAAGGAAAGGGCTCCCTATAAAAGAAACCTTCTTGATGGGTGAGGTCACAAGCAGCTTCCCCTTCTGAGGTTGCTCTGATTGCCCACTGTATGGTTGGACATGACCCCAACTATGGCCAGAAGTTGTTAACATAGCCAACACGCAGCCTTTAAGCAACCCTGCACCCTCGGTGAGCCGAGGTCCCGGCAGCGACCGCAGCAGCTGCGTGCGGTTCAGGTCATCACTCCAGGCCTGGACGACCTGGCTGGCTGAGTAGCTGGCTGGGTGGGTGGGTGGGTTGCTCCGTTGGTTGATTCCCAATGAACGTCTGGACCAAAAGCCAACACTCTTTTTGGTTGGTGCAGGACGAGAATCTGCGAATGCTCACCTTGGTGCGATTCCTCAAAGTCATGTTCGCAGGGTTAGGAAAACAGCCACCTCACTCCGTTGCCAAAAAGGAAGTGATGGAAGTAGGCATCCTGGCAACAATGGTGGTATGTAAGAAAGACTTCCACCAGCGAAACCACACATAACCAACCGACCTTTTCGTACTGGCCAATAAATCAGGAACTAACGCAGCACAGGGGCATAACATATGCCGTTGCCTACTATGAAAATATCCTCAATGATGCAAGTCGCAATTGTCAAATTGTTATTCGCTGACATGCACGTTGACCATTCCCAATACCCTCCCCATCAAGGATGCAAAACATTCCTCCTCACAGAGGCGGAGCAAATCTGAACTATGCCACGGTCAGCTGAAAAGCTCGGATTTCAGGATCCCAGCTTGAATTTACCGCAGACCTTGACAAATCTCCAGCTTCCAGGTTGTCATCTCCAAACATATTATTGCAAACCAACTCCTTGGTACCAACTTCGCAACAACCTGCGACATCAAGCATCGAGGAGCTGGACGATGGCTGTCCTCCAGACCCAGCTCCTCTCTCGCGTGTTCGCTGCAGGAACTTCCGCCCCCGCCCCGGCCTGCGAGAGCACCTGCTCGGTACCCCTTGCGTTGTTGACCTGAGCGCCCAGAGTCATTTGGCCATGCAAACATTGGGAGGTTGGTTCAAGTCTGTACCCCACAAACCTTGCTGGAACTCTGACAAATGCTTGCTGACTGCCATTGGGCGGTTGCCAGAGGACAGCAAACACTCATCTTTTGGTCGTTCCTATACACCACAAGCATGGGCAAGCAATCAGCAGGTCAACTCGCACACACGGATAACTTTTACTCACAGCTGGTCTCCCACTCGGCATACAAGCTGGATGTGTGTCTTGCCCTTAGAATCATTAGAACTTGTCCACTCCCTGTGAAGTGCAATTGATCCCCAGAGCCTGCGGCCGTTAGCCACCTTTGTGAAGTTCTCAGCCCAACCAGTGAGGCAATGTCCGCTGCGATGATCCATTTCCGTGCTGCTTTACCTGCTGTGCTAGACATTTTGGCTGTATGCCTGCGCTTCACGGAAGGGGCTCCGGCTCCAAGTTGCCATGAATTCACATGGCTTGACGAGACGATTCAGCACAGGATACAACTTGCTCGCCACTCGGTTGCAGCAGTGCATGAAAGAGGCCTATTGGCATTGCCAGTGCACACGCACACACACACATGTAAAGTCTGCCCGGGAAATGTGAGGACATTTCTGGACCACGTATCATTTGCCGCACTCGGCGGCTGGCAGCTACAAATTCCTTGTCATTTCTCCTCGGTTGCCTACGGAATTTGGCTTTTAGCACCAGGAAACACAAATTCCAGTCTGGGTGTGTGTGCTTGCACTGCATAGACATGGCTTCCAGGTCAAGATCACCCTGTCTTTGGAAAGCGCCCGGCCTAAGTTTGACAAAGGAACATTCCAGGCATCTTTCACTGATTAACGCCCTTTCGCCGTCACCGCGGGCCCGTGACTCAGAGCTATGCCCCGGGCAGAAACGCTCCGGAAGTGCACCTCGCCGGTTTCGTCGCTTCGGGGCTTCGCTTGGGTTCTTCTGAGGGTGCACTGCAAGGATCAAATGCAATCTCTTAAAACAGCTTGCCAAACTTAATCGGCTTTAGGCTGAGTAGGTTCATTCATTGATTTGAATGGACATCTGGCTTGGGGATCATGGGAGCCACCGATACAACCCACGCGCTCACATGTGATGGAACAAGCACGATCCAGGCGTGATCGCTCCCCATGTCAACCAGTAAGACGTAAGACAAGTCCAATGACACCTTAAGGACTGGCCAATTTGCTTTTGCTGTTGCTCCATGCTTGATGCAAACAACTGGACAGCCTTCGTTGGTAAACCAAAACGCGTGATGGCATCATGCCATTCCAGACTCTCGAGGTTCCTCGGAGTCCGACAGCTATCTAAACTGCGTCAGGTATATCGATGAGCAGTTGGGCGTGCAACCACCCAAGGAATCATGAGAACCTGACAAACATACAGTATGTAGGGTTCGAAAGGCTCATTGTCCTGTTGGCTTCTTTGCGACTCCTGACTTCAACATGCAGCCGCATATGTTGTTCCTAAGTAGTTCCCTGACCCATCCCATGCACTCCCATCGGATTCGCTGGCGAGGTTGGGGCGTACCTGTTTCAACTTAGATAAATCACGATTGATCACTATGGTTCAATCCATTTTCCCCTCAATATTTGGGTAATTCCCGTAGGACCCGTTGTTCCCCCGTGCGCCTGGAGGCCCTCGAGCAGCGGCAGCAGGTTCACCAACTCCCAAAGCTCCCCGCGCCGCAGCGCCTCCACGTCCAGGCCTTGCACGATTCGAGCGAGGGTGGCCAGGAATGATGTGCTTGCTATCTGGCTTCGTTGAAATATTGGCGACAAATATGTGGCTCAGGGGAAACACCTCAGTAAAATCAGCGGCCCAAAAAGGAGGGGTGAAGCCAATGGCAAAGTGTGGTTGAGGAAGCCATGGCCGGAATGCCCTTTGAGACTTTGAGACAGAAATAGAGGGCACCATGGCGAGAGGGCACTTGCGACCAACTGGCAAAGGCTTCATGCGGTCTCCTGACAGTTCATAGCCTCAAACTCACTCCCGAATCTCTTTTGGGCGAAATTGGGGGAAATATGGGACTTTTCACAGCTTGCAGGAAAGCGGTAAATACGGGGGCGGCGGCGGGTTCCTGGAGCCACTGGGCCCTTATCCGCTTGGACACGGGCCTCCGGCCGTGGGTTGGTGCCTGTTTTTTGCGAGCCGCCTTGGCAAAGTGATGCCAAAAGCCTAGAACTTTCGGTACTTGATATTTCTTGCTACAAGTGCTGTGATTGTTCATTCACGTGCCACTAAATGTGGTGAAACATCGAATTGTGTATCCGTGCCATTCCGTGCCCTTTCTTACACGCTCAGCCTTCCTGAATCCATTCGTGAACGGGTTTCCTTGTTCGACTTCGCAGTTGCTTTGCTCCCGCTCACATTTAGGGGGGGCCCTGTGGAAACTTGCTCCGAAAGGGGCTCCAAGGGGTCCCATCTGACCACTGGGCCTCACACGCTTTGCTTTGTAGTCCACAGACAGTAGCAAACTGCCAACGGTGACCTGGCCAGCGTCATTGACGATGTCCGTGAAAAAGGTGGATGCTTTCAGCGAGGCAATGGGACTCCAACAAACGCAGCTTTTCCACAACAAGTTTTCTCCATCAGTACCAAACTCATTATATAACATTGCGAAGCATGTCAACACTCGCAAACCATCACAAACCAACATATTCTACCATCAAACAGCATACACAGCGATGACCATCATTAAAACACGGATACCATCATGAGTCACACTCGATCCAACGCCACAAAACACAGCGTCAACATCTCCACCCCATCATACAATACCGATCATCGAGCTACAAGAAGGCACGGAACTGTCAGCGCCCCAAGCCGCTCACAAGTCTAAGGGTCTCATGAGGCCGTCATGCTGCGGGATCCTTACCGGGTTCGATCCCGGCAAGTGGCTAACTTCCTCCCGGTTTCACCTTTGCATGCTCCGAAAGGGCATTGAGACACACCCGTGGACGCAATCAGCTGTTGGAGGGCTTGTAGCAACCCTGGTAACGGCTGTCAACATCCTCTCAGGCGTGGCAATTAGTGAACACATGCAGCCTCCGACCTCCGAGCTAGTTGTCAATGAGAACGACTTTCAAAAATCAATACACGACACAACATATTCCACCCTCTGCCAATCAAATTTGAAGATTCAAAGCAGCAAAGAAGCAATATCGACTGCCTCCCAAGCAGCAGCATATCAGCGACAAGCTCCAAACTTTCCCAAAGCGCCTGCTGGAAGAAAAGGCTCACCGTGGTCGCTTGCACAGGGTCTCAGCGGCCGGATCGTCTCAAAACCAAAGATGAACCGCTCAGCTTCCAATGGCTTTGGGGCACAGCTCCGGTCAAAGGAATCGCCCTGGCGAGGCTCCAAGCTGGGAGAATCTGTGCGAAGTTTCCGGCTTTGCCACGTTGAGCCATAGTGAAGTGCTCGCAGTTGCAGGTCTGAGTCAGCTTTTATCTGGCCAAATCCGACCTTTTTGGCGCGCGGATCTTGTCTTAAAGCGCTGCATGAATGGCAGTTGGAAGCTTGCTGACAACTTGACCTTTGGGGATTTTTGTGGACCTTTACCCCGATCCCAACTTTGCACCTGGTTTCAAAACTAATCAAACTCCTTCAACCGCCAAAATGGTTTCATTGTCGGATGTTTCGGTCCTTTTCACCCGCAAATGGGCTTGAATCCAATCATATTTTGAAACAATCTGTCTTTCCCGTGTTCTCTTTGCGTGTCCAGTGAATCGACAGTTCAAGCAGTTAGTTTAAGCAGTTGGTATATATTATATTGGCAAATTCAGAAGTCATGGTACCAAACCTGGAACCCTTGAGTGAAAGCTGTGGGGTGCTGCCTGACATTCTCCTCCGTTCCGTGAATCTGAGGCTTCTGCCCGGCACCACGTGCTCCACTACCTCCTGTGGCTCCTGGCAAAACGCCTCTGGACCCGAGTCCCATCCTAGATCTTACGTCAGGGTACTTGTTCACAAAACGAGGCGTGTGACCAGGTGGTGTGGGTTAAACAAACGCAGAGTGTGACCCAATGTGCTTGTTCAAACAAAGAAACATGTAGGGAATCACAAGAGTTTCTTGACTCTATGATTGAGAATGCCCCCTCCAATTTCCCATAGTTCTGGGCGAATCGTTGTGTTTTGGCAACCTGAAGAATGGGACCCTTCAGAAAGGAACTTCCATCAATGCTAAGGTCGTAAACCAAATCATTTCATAAGGTCACTACAACCTGCCCAGAATCATGCAAGCTCCCGTCTCCGGTAGGCCAGGTCAGGGTGAATGTCTGCGTGTGTGTGTGTGTGTGTTGGTGTGTGCTTCCGTGCTCAAAGGCCAACTCCCCCCGTCAAACATCCGCCCAACAAACTTGAAACAGCAAGGCTCGTTTCCTGGCCGAATATCCTGTTGCAAATTCTCACAGCCGCATCCCTTAGTTGGACAGGTGTCAAAACAAGGTAGGAATATCCGAACTCACTGAAGAATGAAGAAACCCGGAAGCTCCAAGCTTCCGCGGCCTGTGATTATACGCAACCCCATCCAACTAGCGCTTTGTCGGCGGAAAACTGATTGGGATGATCAGAGTTTTGGCGTTTCATACAATGAGGCAATGCATGCGAAGACGTCCAAACATCACCTCCCCATATCAAAACAGCGTGCAAACAGCAACCGGACATCCCATTCCGTCATTGCGCCCTTCCTCCGTCACATCCGGCGCGATGCCGGCCGCTGCCAAAAAGTCCTCCTGCCCGCTTGGAGTACCAACAGGGGAGAGCTTCATTCAAACGGCGCCAGCAAGGAGGGAAAAAAGGCGTGAGGACGGCAAAGGTCGGCATGTGAACTTGCATTTCAATTAAAGCATCGGATATGAGTTGAGGGATTGGTTTGAACAATCATGATTGCTCAAGAAGCCTTCCTGGTAACTGAAGCGCCAATGGCCCAAGCCCCACGCTCCGGTTGACTCAAAGCTGGCCTCTAGTCGCTGATCTGGAATCCGTGGGAAGGGAAACGGAAGGACGGGAAGGACAAGGGAAGCATCCCAACCTACTGGCTTTGGGACTGGAGTTGGGTAAAACGTCACCTGCTAAGCTGCTAAGCTCTCCAAATATTGCAACAGGGGAACGCAGTCAAAAAGCGAGAGCATTCCAAGTCGCGTTGTGACGTAGTCCGTGCGGTTCCAGAAAGCCACATCAAGGACAGCTGGGAGTTGTCCATAATCGTGGATCCCTTTTCTTTGCACAAACGAAAGGAAGAGTTGGTTTGAACAGGGGTCGTGTCCAGTCCAGTCCGCATCTGGGCCAATGCTCGGACCCCCAGTCCTCGTTGATCACCCCCAGGTGCCATTGAATCGAACGAACATGAGCAGCTCATGCGGAACCCCAAAGCCATCCCTCTAATGTCGGATGGTAAAGAAACACTTCTGAAATGATAGCTTAGGATGCCGGCCCTTTGATGGCTTAACAACCTAAGCTCCTTTTGATGGCTGAACAACCTACAAGCAAGGTTTGGGGTTTGTGTGCATTCTGTTCTCAGTCCTGGCCGTCCCCCAGCTCTTCCACATAGTCCTGCCTCGATAGCCGACACAATGTCCCAATAAGACCGCAACGTGTCTGCAGAACCATACGACACACCCAGCACACGCGCACAGAAGCACACGCGAGTATGCCTCGACATTGGGGGCCATGTTTTGAGACAGATTGAAAGCAAATCAAGCGCATGCCACATGTCTTAGTGAATTGCCAAACGGACATATGGCTTTGGCTCAAAACTCAAGAGCTAGGGTTACGCAGGTTTTAGTCTTTGGTTCCATTCACCAAGGTGCCATTTTGGTACCACTTTTTTGAGCCACTGCCATATGGCTCACCGAGAAGGACACTTCAGCGTGTAGACCATGATTTGCACACTTGAGCGCATGTGTAGCAACAGGCTACCAACCCCATGCCGATTGCTGTGACCTCGCAAAGGTGAAGACTGTGTCGCACTACCTCCTGCAGTGCTGAATCCTTTGTGTCCTGTGAGCCGAGGATAGCAGAACTTGCTTTCAACAACCTTACCTGACGCCCTTCCCAGCTCAAAGGTAAGCTTGTGTTGCTTCATTCTAAGAGGGTACCAACGTAAAAGAAACTTTTCTGACGGGTCATCCCTGCGCAGACCTTGGGTGCCATGTTGGTTCCCTTTGAAACATCCCCAAAGGCGGTGCGCATTGTCAACACGCATCCGCTTGGCGGTCTATGAGCTCCCTGCAAGCAGCACAGCTGGATGAAGTCTGCCAGGAAGTCTACGGTGTCTTGGTCCACCTGAAGGCGTTCCCTTTCTTGAGGGTAGCCCCTTTGGGTCTGTTTAAATGGAAAGTCTGCTTTTTGTTGAGTATCCTTTCCAGGTGGGTTTGAACGGAAATCCAAATGAAAACCACTTTTTTTGGGGGGCGGTCCCCCATGTTAAGAGACAAACCTACCTCGGAAAGGAGAGGAGCCACCCCACCAAAACCGACTGCTCGCATATCACTCGGGCTTTCCTCTTCAACGGGACACCCGCGATTGATGAACCACGGACCCTAGGCCTTGGGCCCGAGGTGACTAGTTGACTAGGGCGACGCGCGAAGCGCTGTTGCAATGTAGACACGCTGCTTTTTGCAGTGAGCTCAAGTCTTACTCACATGTTGATTGGAACAAGTGCTGGGATCAAGCCAGTTGGAACACCAATTTAATCACTATAGAAGTATGTCTTCTTGCCCATGGCGGTTGCTTTGCACGTTAGGACAAATTGTAGCGCCCTGCCTGTGCAGGCTGTAGGGATCTACTTAGGCAGTGTTTTGCAAACTCCGTTTTCGATAATGACGCGTGCTACAATCGTACGTGCAGTCTTGCCACTCGTTCGTACAGCGCACCTGGGCTATCGCAAAGCCCAAACCGTGGCAAACACTTGCATTTAGATCCTGCTTTCTCATCGTCAATGCTCAGGGACATCAATCATGATCGGCCGCAAGTCGACGCGCAAGCACTTCTGAGTTTCTAGCACCCCACTTCCCCCACTATCCTGGATAGTGAGTGTCATTGGCCTGGAAAACAATGTCATCAGAGCTTCATAAGGATCATGGTTCAAATCAGGGGATTGGCACCTAGCCACGTCCCCATGGTGCAAAAGGCAGCTCAGGCCCAGGCTGTAAGCTGGAGGGGCAGCAGCTGCAGGTCCACATAGTACTCCGGCGCCAGCTCCTCGAAGGTGGAAACAGAGCCCAAGGCACGTACTCGCCGAAGCGATATGAAACATCTAAGCCATGTAGCTTCTCCCATACCGGACCACGTGAGAATCGCTACTTTACCAGCACATCCTGGAGGCGATGAAAGAAGGACTGCACCATGCCCCGAAGCTTTCAGCCCTCAACACCAAGGCTTGTTCGCCTGCAAGGTGGCAACTGCGGCTAGGCGGCCACACACACACACACCAAAAAAAACGGTACATAGCCGTACAAGACTTACAAACTACGCAACACACAACAACACCAACAAACACCAACAAACACACACACAAACACACGCATATATATATATATATATACTACACGCTGCATGAGAAACACGAGCAGTCAGTCAGCACGTCAGTGTGCTGCAAAGTTGCAGCCTGGGGAATAACTGGGTGACAGGACCAGGCAGTGAAACGTCCGAATGCCAGCAAAGCTGCTGGCTAATTTGTAAATCACATATAATTGGTATACCACTTCACCGCTGAAGAGAGCCCGACGACTGAAACAGGATTCACGCCTGAAAGAGCTTGTGACATCCGTGTGACACATATCAGACTGGATTGTAGCCACACGTTTGCAGTGCAACAACTCCCAAAGACAGATTGCAAGCTGTGCATGGCATTTCGTGCTGTTGGCCATTCCTTCTGCCCAAGTGATCTTCACCATTTGGAAGGCCGATGCCTGCCAAGCCGCATGCTCTTCGTACTCCGCCAAACGCAGGCGCAAACAGAACCCACTGTTGGGATTGCTCGGCAGCCATGAACCCAAATGCTACATTTCAATTGCAACCAACATTGGGATCCTATGATCCTGGTTTCGTGTTGCCTTTGGGGCGCCACATGGATTCCTTGCGAACTGACCGACACAAGCTGAGACCCCAGCTGGAAAGGGAGGCTCCGACCTGGGAATGGGGTAGCAGCCGGAGCAAGAACATATATGGGCAAGCACTTTCTATATACATTGCTAAATATACAAGTGACAAGCTCTTTGCATGCAAGGGTCAAGACTAGTAAGGTTTTTCGGTTGAAACCTCTGCCCTGAAAGGATTTGTCGTCTTGACCCAAAGGCTAAGGGCAGAAAAGAACACACAAAGTGTGCGATGCCTTGCTCGTTCTGGTGGACAACTCTTGTATGCAATTTGTGCTTGCTTGTAGGGGATATTTGGAGTACAACAGAACCTCACAGGGAGATATCAGCGCGCGCTATGCCGGAAAAGGTGAAAACAAGCGATAGCCATGTTGGTTGCTTGTTCACTGGGAACAAGCATTTCCCTAACAAGGCAACATGCGAACCAGGTGTCATATTTGGCCCAGTTCTTTTTCGCCGTGAATGCAAGGCTCACACAGCCCAGAAACAGTGCGCAGATCTGCTTGAATACAAGTTGGCTTCTGCCTCACATCGATGACGATGGCTTACTGGCGAGGAATAAAACTCGTTCAACATTGCTACTTGGTTGCATCACTGCGCTAATGTGATTTATACTCATGCTACACGGTGATGTGTATCATTGTTCTTTAGAAACATGCTTGCACGTCATCTTGAAGCTGCAACAACTGTACGACAATTCAATCCAAACCATACACTACACGATTGCACAAATGTTGAGCCCCTCAAGGATTCCAGCAAGTAGTGGCTTCTGCACACATGAGCAAGTAGATGACTATGGCACACACTTCACATGTACCTGGTTCAAGATTTCTCACAGATCGATTTTTTGAGGTAAGCCAGAACACACTTGAACTTCCAAAGTGCAACCAGGTCGAAACTCGGCAACAACAACGGTTGATCCTGTGTTAGCCATGTGCTCTGCATGGGCCATCTGTCAACACGGGTTCTGCCTTGGCGCCTAAACCCATTTACGTTTGCACCCCGATCATGAAGGTTGCTTTCACAACCCGCTTTCTAATGCTTGGGAAACCAAGGCCAGATGGCTGTGGATCGAACATAGGGTCGCTCACCCCCAGTTTGTAAAAACAAGCGTGGTCCCCCGGTCCGGAATTTGAACACCCAGATCCCTGCGCCTATGGCCACTGGGCCTCACACTCGGCATCGAGGGCGTGGTGTACCAGCTCATCCACCTCAGCCCGTCTGAGAGACGGCCCCGTCAAAACTGGGGACTCCTCCAAATGGGGCCGTCTCCACATAGCGAACCCGAAATGGATGGTTCGATGGTGGTTGCCCTTTGAAGCACCAGGACAAATGGGCAGCCTCAAGAAAAAACAAAAACACATGGCCGATGTTGAATTCCTTTAGAATGGTCCAAAGCTGGGTTCCGGTATGGTCAAACAAAAAACCAGAGAAACGTGAACAGCTGAGTATGCGCCACGCTACCTACTGTTTGCTTCTGACAGCCTCACTGCTAAGTGAAACGTGGTTTGATGGAGTCTTGCGGCTTGCGTGTTTCATCCGATGCTGTTCGTCAAACAGCATGACCAATCTTTTCTACAAAGTCGATGAATGCGTCTGCGCTGCTCGTCAAACCAATCTCCAAACAAAGAACTGATCCCTCCCTAACACCAGACAACACCAGAGGTGCCTCAGATCATCGCTTTGCCTTTGGCTTCAATCCCTCGAGCAACCGGGGACCAATTTAAGGATTGAGAGGAGAGGCCAAGTTGTGGGCTTGTGGGCCAACCGCAGGAAAAGATGATGGAAGCGCCAAGCATTTGGATCTCTCTGTGTTCTTGCGAAACGGTGTCTTCTCCGAGCAGCTCCAACATGACGGACAAGCAAGCGTGGAATCCCCTTCACAAGGAATGAACGAGCTTTCCGTAGATTCCAAATATCTCACTGACCACCCGGCAATCGTACTTGAACTTGGAGGGCCTACCTACCGCACCGTTCCTCAACGCCAACAGATTTCAGCGGCTGAACTGTTCATTCTTGGGAGGGGCGCCGACTAATCGCTAAATGCATTCCCTGCTTGGTGGCTAGCTAGTGTCAGCTCGAGACATGCTGAGCTTCGTGCTGCGTTTGTCCCACAAACCGTCCCTCACCGGCTAAGTGCCACAATCCCCAAGTTGGACCCTCCCCCCTTCGAGAAGTTAACATCTTTGCTGGATAGTAGGAAATATTAATTGTCCAAAAGGCCTACAAGGTTACAGGATGAAGCCAAAGCAGCCAAGACCAACCAGGGTGGAACCAATTGCCTGAGCAAAATCAGTTGCTCGAACCTGTTGGATCACCCGCCTGAAAACAAGCAATGAAGCGAAAAGCCCCCGTTGGGAGACAACGACTTTTTGGAAAGGGAGCCATAGCACTTCCAGCCTTGGGTCAATTTACGAGTCTCACCTTCTCTGATGGAAAAGCGGACCCGCAATCGCTGGGCTGCCCACCCGCAACAGCAGCATGTCCTCAGCGCAAACAGATCAGCCCGGGGTATTTTGTTGCTCATGAAGCATCTGCACCACGCTGCTTGCTGCCTTTGTGTGAAGCAGGTGCCTCCACTGGCACATGACAGGCATTCTAAGCCGTTGTGTTGCCTGGCATGTCCTACGCTGCGCTTGCAACGGTATAGCTCAAATTCTGAAGGATTGGTTGCAGATCATATTGCTGGACGCCCCACAGGCAAACGGAACTTGTACCTGCTTTGTACAGTACCTTGTTGCTGCATTACCACAAGCATCAGGCTCTGTCCAGGAAAGTAGCCACACGATGCTCTGCAGCACGTCTTTAACGCAACGACTAAACAACTTGGTCTTCTACACCGGTGCTTTTCCGGCTTCTTTGTATGGCGTATGCAGCCTTCCGGGCTGGAGCTTTCACCTTCAGCACTCGTTTTCTGAGGAGCCAGCGAAAAGAATGTCAACTGCCCTAAGCCGCTATCCCAAGACAGCAGTGCACAAACATCAATTACAAACTAGTACAGTATATACCCTGTACGGTACTGTATACAACGCGGTTGGTGGCTAAAAAGCACAAAAGTACTAGTCCTTTCTGCGGGGCTTTTGGAGGTGGTAGGAGAAGCCTGTTCTAGCCTTCTGTAACCAACACGAGAGTATGCAAAAGCAAAGTGACATGACACGAATCCGGAAGGTTTGGGTGGCAACATGACCCATCATGGTCACGCTGCAAGGTCTTGAGAACCTATGCTGGGTTTGGCCTCTTCCATTTCATAGAACTTCAAGCACGCGCACATTGTCATACTCAACCACACACACACACACTTCAGGGGGTGTGAACCTAAAGTCCGACTTGTACCCAATTCAGCACCTACAATTGCGGGCTTCAGCCGGGGAATGTCCCTCTTCAAAGCGACACCGCAAGCTCCAACCAGCTGGGAGCAGCCCAGACGAAAACTCTACTTCCCAACCTTTGTATCTTGATATACACATACACAGTACATATAAACACTTAGTACTTAGTGTTCTGTGGAGCCCCGACTTAATAAAACACAGTAAGGGGATAAGCTGAGACCACATCAGTGCCCAAACATCCGAGTGTCCACCATGCTCGGGCGAGGTCTCTTCTCCTCGTCCTGCGGATTTCATGTGGCATCGGATATAAGTCACAACAGCCCCGCCCGTGAGGTACGTGGTTGGATGAGATGTGCCTGATGAAAAGCGGGTGAAGCCTTCTGCTAAAGGCTAGAACTTGTATTTGGTATGCCCGGCATGGTTTGCGCCCTGTCTTCACCATCACAATTCCCGAGCGAGCCATTTGGATGACATATGTGGATTCTTGGCATACTACATGCGTTTTGCATGCCTGTTGTGCGCTGATTTGTTTCTGGATGGCTTGCACATGCTGAACGAAACGCCTGCAATGACTGCAAATACTTATTATGGCACAGCTGCGGTTTGAGTTCCGAATCCTGCCTGAGTGCTTGCCGTAAGGTGTGATTGAAAATGGGGACCAAATTCTCCCAGGTTGATGGTCACTGTCATTTGCCCCTCCATTGAAAGCTGGATGAGGGGGCTGGAAAAGTCAAACAACGGCTTCCAAAACAGAAAGCAAACGCCATATTTGCTAAGCGCACAAAAAGTGAAGTGCTGACATCGTCAAAACCTCCCAGTTGCATTGTGGTTGAGCCAGAACCTGGAGCAAGATACGTCTTTTCACCAATCTGATGCAAGGGATTCCTCCAACTGACATAATCGTGTCGCTTGTTCCTCTGGCCTGCCCTCTACTTTGGTAGCCACAAAGTGGAGGTGCCCTCTCGAAGCTCCGCAGGTCCTCAAAGTAGGAGAGAACGTGCGAGAACACGCTGCCATGGACCCTGTCCAAGATGTCCTGAGGCAGCATTCTAAAGTACTCACCCAGCAACTAACACGAATCCCTACATGTTTCATTGCTTGAAAAGCGCGTGCCGCGCGAGACACGGATTGTCCCCAAATGTGCTTGCCGTGCAGCCAGGAGGAACGCAGCTGAGGTGGCTAGCAGTTTCACGAGAGATGAGCCCTCTTCAAATGGAATTGCCGTTGCAACTTGGCAAACTTACTCATCCAACGTCTTGAGCACTCTTGCTTACTTAGTGAAGCGCGCCCTTGAATACCTACCGGATGGTCTGGATGGCTTATGGGACATGAGTCCGTAGCATGGATTGTACTTCCAATACTCAAAATAAGAGATCCCTGAGTCAGGATGGAACCTTCATCATGAGTGAGCTCGTTTCCAACCGCCATTGCAGTTCAGTTTAAGAACACAGCTGTGAACGTAACACTTTGCCCTTCATCTTGACACATGGGCCACAGTATCAGCTATGGTCACGACCACTGTTGCTGCCCCTGAAGCTTGCAGTAGTTGGAAAATGATCGCATGCCTTGCGACTGCCTCGCCAAGGACTTGGATTAACTGTAACAGCAGCCGTCAGGGGCGCCTACGTGCTTCACCCGAGGAAAGCTCCCAATCTGTGAGCAGGGGCTCCATGTTGAACTGAGCTCCCGATCTGTCACCACGTGGCGTGATCTGGCCACCCAGTCCGAGCGGCTACCAGCAAAGTGGCAGTTTCTCCGGTTCGGCCGAGGAGCGAAATCGCGGGCGCACAGCACCAAGCGCCAGCGCAATGTGCTGGTCTCTACCTCAGGTTCTCCGAGAACCAAACGGGTCGCCAAAGCCAGATGGGATTAAAGGGGAACCTAAAAAAGTGGGTGACTGTCGGATTTGATTTGGCTTCCCGTAAAAAATGACCTCCCAAAATCGTACCCCCAAAAGCCACGTGCGCATGCAAACTATATTATATGCTTGTGACTGTTTCAGCACGCTGCTCACCAGTATTTACATGTATGTCATTCCCGAACATGACAGTACTGCTATCTGTTTGAATTGGAGGGTTTACCGAGCAGCCTGGCGTAACTGCGCTCTTGATAGGTCACGTTCCTCACATTGAATTTGTTCTAGAGCAATGCTGGATGACACAAACTCATTACGTTCTTCCAGGAAAAGGAGATGATCGTATCCAACAAATACACGGGGGGGTGATTGAAGATGCACCAATTCAGAGTCTTGGTCAGGAGCATCACTACAATTGTGGGGCCAACCGCCATTGGAGAATGAACAAACATTTGGACGCTTGCAGCAAACAATCTTCTGACGCAAGGCATGGGTAAATTCATCGATGACTTGGTTTCCTTGCAGTTGCCCAGTTCAATGTGAATTCAAGGAGGGTTCGAAAAGGCGTTCCCTGACTGGCCAGGACAAGTCCAAGTTTACCAATCCAGCAGCTTAGTTGAAGAAGAACCTCCTCTCGAGGCAGTGAAATTGTACCTGCTAAGGCCCCAGGCAAGGCATGTGCAGAAATAGGCCGAATATACTTCACCTTTCCATACATGAACCGCTGGTATCAGCCCCTGGTTGATGTTTGAATCGACAAGAACCTTGTTGCCCCGTGTATTCCCAATCTGGACTTCAACGATCTCTCCGCGCGCAATCTCAGCGCGGGGCCAAGCGGCGGCGAGCCACCGGGCCTTCGTCGCTGGCTCGCTTGCCCAGGCCAAAGCAAAAATGCAGCGTAAACCAACCAAGCTGGGTTCCCTTCTTTTGGGGTCATAACATGCTTCAACCAACTGGAGGGGGGCCTGCCTCCTTCCGGCAGCATAAAGACACAATCGACAGATTGAATGCCAGAGCCGGAAAGACATCCATTGCTTGCCGAAACGAGTCAAACACTCACCCACGACCCATGAAGCTAAGCCTGATGGAACAACTGCCAAATCAGAACAAGAAGACGGGGAAACCAAACAGGCCGGCCGAAAAAGGATAATAACTCAACGGGTGGTGCCCATGTCACCTGCTTCCATGAAAGGCTTTCATACAAACCACTGCCGCCCAAACAGCAGCGGCAACAAGGAGAACAAATATATGAAAGCAACCCTTCGGTGGTCGATCAAATCAACTGCTGATAGTGATATGTGCCAGACGCAAGCTGACGTTTGTTCCCAAAATAATGCATCTCATATCTCAGGTCGAGAATGATTATCTCAATGACGTCACAAGGGGATAGAGTCTTGCCTCTGCCTATTGCTGCATGACTGCTGAAACCAGCACTCAACCAATCAGACAAAAACAGCAGGTCTAATATATAACTGTGCGTTTCGGCATTGTGGCATGCCCAATGACAGGCCTTTGGTATCACCAAGAATCAAGAATTGGAATGTGAGCAACGCTTCCTCTTTCCTTCCGCATTTGTGGGGGGATGTATGAACTCAGTTGACTCGCAGAAGAGCCATGGGAACCGTACTGGAAGTGTTTGGCATCCCACAGGGAATAACACTTGACGTTTTCACAAGTCTGCATGATCACCAACACCAGGCACGCGCCGCATGCAAATCGAGTCACTCAAACTCTGGCCAGAAGAAGCCACCAAGACATGATGAGACAAAGCTTGACTAGCTCAGTCTGGTCAAGAGCTGACGAGCAACTAGCACCACTTGGTGCATGGCAACAAGACATCATCCTGATGAAGAGACTCAATTGAGGACACTCCACTTATTGAAAAAAGAGAGGAGAGCTTTCTCTGTGAACAGAGTCGCAAACAGCAAGATAAAACACTCATGCTGTGCTGTGGTCTGCCATTTGACATTTTCAAAGTGTACACATCGCGGCTTTGCCTTAAGATGCCCTGCAAAGAAGTCGACGGCAAAGCACCGAATCAGTTTGTCCCTGGTAACTCTTGGGGAATGACTTGCCATATGTTCAGCTCGGGTGCGTGGGACATCTATTCATCACCAGCCCACTGACCCCATTCGGGCGCCCGGCGAGATCGCCTGGCAGGAAACCTGGGCGGGTCAGGACCTCTACAAACTTCCCTCCCCTCTCAACACTTCACAAAACAAACCATGTCTGTGGTGAAGCAATGCGCTTTTGGAGAACCACGGAAAACAAGTGGAGAGCAAACGAATCGTTTCTTTTAAGCATGTTGGTGTTCACCTTGAAAAACAAACGCGCTGACCATGGCTGAGTTTACAACAGCGCCGCACCAACAACATCAATAGCTAGTATACTCGTCACAGGTGAGCAGTGGTCTTTTTGGTGGTTCGGGGCCTATACACTACTTGCACGCCTACGCGGAAGCTTCCGCAAGCCTGCGCCGCTGCAAAGGGTGCCTACGCGAGCACAAGTCACCTTGCAGGTGCCTACGCGGACGCCTACGTTCAAGTGTTGAAGTGCAGTTTGGCACCTCTAGCTCTAAGATCACCTTTGCAATACAATTGAAAACCCACACATCTGTTGAAGGATCTGGCTGCTAGAGAAGGCCTACGTACACTCAAATGCCTTGAAAGCCTACGTGAATGCCTACACGAATGCCTACGCAGGGCCTACGCGGAGCCTACGCGAAGACTGCAGAACAAACGGAAGGAAGGAAAAAAAAAAAAAACTTCGCTACACTTGGCAAACAGCACTGATTTGTTCAAACGCCTACGCGAAAAACCTACTCGAGGGTTGCCACAACAGCCTACGCGCAGAAGCCTACGCGAGCGTACGCCCCCAACCAGGATTGCCTTCGCAAAGTACATGCAGTTCCCTTTTTGTATAAACCCTTTCATTTGATTAAAAACCGCTGCTCAGGTGCCAAACCGGAAAGCATTCCGGCAGCCCAGTCAATGGTTGTCAGTGTTACCTTCTTCAAGCAACCTTCCTCACCCAGAGTGTGCAGTCCGCTGTCAAATTTGTTTGTTTGTAAAGTACGAAAGCCGCTCGATCCATGTACATGTGTGTGTGTGTGTGTGATGCAAGGCGGTTCTCTCTCTCGGGGAAGGGTCGAAACACGCGCTGCTATAAACTATAAACAGGCCTGAGCAATATCAGCAAACCTGCTAGCCATTGAAGATGTGATGCGGCACTTGCAATCATGAGAATATCCTTTTCGCAACGCTGGCGCTTTGTTGATTTGTTTGCTCCCCACCAGGGCCAAACAGTGCAGCTAGGGACGTCGACCTCGCAAAGGACATCCCTCAATCTGAGCCCCAGGCATCATGAGCTTTGCAGCTGCCTCCTTGACCTGAACCTCAGCCCATCGAGTCTCTGAAGCCAATTGCACAGCCACGGTCCCGAATATGATGCATCTCAGACTCTCAAGAAAACAGTTTGGACGAATTGTAGGGTTTACCAAAGTGATCAAATCAGTCCAACGGACTTCGAATGGACATCTGCTGGAAGCTCTTGACGCATGCTAAGAGGGTTGACGACCAACTTGTCCAAAGCTCCCAAGAAGACTTGCTGACAGCTGAGAGACAAGCTCTCACTCTCCTTGCGGATCCTGCTGGTGACATGCATTCGCAACCCACTTTGTGAGCCAACTTGGATCTTTAACTGGGGCGCGGGCCGAGAGGTGAGTTCGCCGCCTCTCTGAGGCAATACTCTCCTGCGATGCTGATGTAATCTGGACGCTTCAGGTGTTCAGCGCCTGCAACCCAGCTAGTTTGGAATTGCTGCGGGCGCTCAGGCGCCAATCTTACCTACTACGTATCCCCCCTTCTTTTCACAGTTTGAGGATGGAACGGTGGGGCCGTACCACCCATACCAGAAGAGAGGGGCTGGAAACCAGGCTGGGAAATTCAAACAATTCAAAATCTAAGCCCACTTTCTCTCTCTCATTTCATGAGTGCATTGCCTGATCTGTTCGTTGCCAGACAACATGGTCATCCCAAACGGCTTCGAACATTTAGCATTCAACTCCCCTCACACAACAACACGCGAATTGTCCAGTCCGAGTCTGCAGTAACCTTCTGGCACACGCACACACACACATTATCTCGCAGTATTCGGCCTAAAACACACCTACAACCCATTACAACCAGGCAAGTGGCTTCACACGTTCCACTCAGCACGTGGGCCAGAGTTAAAATATGTTCGAAATAACTTTTCAGGCTAGGGAACACCACAAATCCGCAATGCTGCAAATGCTCTGCATCAATCGACGTGGCGTCAGTTGTCTTCAGTGCCACCGCCAACCAGGCTTGACATTCTGCCACGCAGCCACACAAGACTGTGGCTGCCAAATACAAAACACACACACACAATACTGTGCTTGTGGCAAACATGAAAACGCCATGACATTTGAGGTCCTCTTCCCTGTTCCAACCGCTGGGCGGACACAAATCGGCTCTAGCCCACCTTGTCACGCGGGCGCCCGCCAAAGTCCGAGCCCTGGCGTGCGGCAGTTGTGAGTTCAGCAGCTCGCTGGGCTCATGCCTACAGTGCCACACTACGAGGGTAACCATGCAAGCATACCACCATGCTTCCAGTGGATTTAACCTCTGTAGAGGGTGGCCAAGTCAAAGTTCAAACCCGTTGTTCAACTCTTGAGGAATACACTTCAACTGAAGAAACTGATTTCAGGTCACCCTGCACTCGGTCTACTGGCTGTGTCACAGTGGGATTCCCCCACCTAGCGCAAATAGTCCATTCTCGGGGTCCTCTACTTTAGGAAGCCCCTGGCCGAACGCACCGGCCGGCATTTTGCACGGGTAGGAGCACCCTCGCCACCTTTCGGCTTTCAAAAACCGTCAAAAAACCAGCTGGCCATGGAAGACTATTGGAAACCCAATGTGTCCAGGGCTCTGTGCAGAACCCCGACTCACAAAAAGAACCGTCACTCCTGCAGCCAACAAATCAAACTCGTCGACCTGTGGCTGTGAGGCCCTCATGAGTATTGTCGCTTCTCGGGTGCCAGTAATTCTCAAGCACCAGGTCATGCCTCTCAGCCAATGCGAGTCTGTACAAGTCGCGGGTCTCTTCTCTATTCCTCACGGCGGCCCGGCAGCTTGTGGCCCGGCACTTCACTGGCGCCCTCCCGCGCCGGCGGTGCGTCAAATGATGCTGCAACACCTGCAGCTGCGACGAAATCGGCGTCTGAACCGAAGGTCAGCATGCCAAAGGCGAGCTTCAAGGGGAACATTTCCTGGGTTGGTCTTTGACCCTGCAAAAAACAACTTTGTGTTGGTTGGTGCGAAAGAGACATGTTCCAAAAAACAAAAGGTTCAAGGCCAAGCCAAAAAGCACCCAAGTTTCCAGGGGCCCGTCCTCCTCGAAGACCACTTCGTAGAGATCCGTGTGCTCCTGCCATATCCATGGCAAAACCTCGAAGTCGAAAGACCGCGCTGATGCCAAGAGGGCATGGGGGAAACACATCTTAGAAGGGGCCTGTACCCCTCCTATGTCGAACATTGATCCTCCATCCGAGAAGCAGTCCTTCTTGTTGACGATCTTGGTCAGCTTCCGCTCTTCGCTGCCCACGATGACCCAATCCCCCAGCTTCAGCGAATCTGCACGCTGATCGCAAAGGCCTGTGTAGGCAGCCCCAATTGGCTGCGTCAACATGGCACATAGCATGACAAAGCGAAGGACTGGCCGTTGAAAGGCACAAAACCTTTTACACCACAACTCGCTAGACGCCAAGTGAAACCCGTGACCAAACCAAAGCCCTGCCTGTGGCACCCGGCACAGCCACTCGGTGGGATCTAGAGAGGGCAAACTTCCCCTGGTGCGTGCTGAGCTCAACCACCTCGTAGGGTTTCTTCTTGGAGGGGTGCTTCTTCACGTCCACCACCGAGGCCTCGGCGCCATCGCTCAGGCGGACACGGTCCCCTGGCTTCAGGTGCTCCACTCGCAGCAAGTGGCCGTCCGCGCTGGGCAGGGCCGTGTTGGGGAGGAAGCACTTTGCAGACTGGCTGCTAGCATCGCTCACCGACTGCACCTCTTCCTCCGTGCCTGAGAGCACAGCCCAGGAGTTTGAGCTGGCCGGGGAGTCGCCTGAGCAGGAGCTGATCTGTTTCCCTCAGACTGTGACCCCGCTCTGAGTCCAAGAAGTCACACCGTTCAAAACAAACATCTCTCCACCTGGTGAGTTTGAACATGATCGAGCCTGCTTCCGCATCTGGTTGCAGATTGATGTTGGTGGAGCGGCTGAACGCCTGAAGCCAGCTCACTCACTTGCAGAGTTGCACCGCCGGTCAGGGCCCAAAGCATCTTGTTGGGAAACAAAGCAGGAGGAATGGGGCAGTTTGCGGGGCAGGTTTGGCAAATGCTTCTATTGAAGCTGGGGCGCAACCACGTCATCGCAGTGCTGCTTCAGCTGGAAAAGCTGTTCCGTGACTTCCTGCAACTTCTGCTGAGTCATCGGTGCTTTCTGTGAAGCCGAAATGAGGTCATGCCTGAGTGTCTCCAGCTCATGCTGCAAGTCTTGGTTCTCCTGCTGCAAGGCATCCTTTTCCTGGGTTGCTTGAGCCTTCTCCTGCATGAGCAATGCGAAGTGGTGCCTGGATTGTTCAAGCTGCTGTTGTGAAAGCAATGCAAAGTCATGCCTGGACTGCCACAGCTGCTGCTGCAACTCCTGGTGTTCCTGCTGCAAGGTTTCCTGTTGCCGTGTTGCCTCAGCCTTCTCTTGCGTGAGCAATGCAAACTCATGCCTAGACTGATCCAGCTGATACTGCAGATCCTGATTTTTTTGTTGTAAGGAGTTCTTTTCCTGCACTGCCAGCGTCTTTTCCTGGGTACTCTTTGTGAGCTGCTGCTTCAGCAAATTGAACTGCTGCTGGAGCTCTGCCTCCTGCGCCCCCTCACGCTGGACCTCTGCGCTTAGCTCTTGCACCCTGAGCTCTGCTGGGGAAGGCTCAGGGCTTGGCACCGGTTGAAGCGGCAGCAGTGAGAACTCAAACCTGTTCTTAGTCAACGAGGCCAACTGGAACTGAGGCGAACTTGTCGCAAAGGTCCTCGACAGCGCCACCGTCTCCCCGGTGTCCGACTCCGCCCACACCTTCCACCGCCCTCCGGCCTTCTCCCAGCGCCACTGCACCTCACTGCAACCGCGGAACCCGCCCACCACGTGCCAGGCAAAGCCCTCAATCACCTCGCAGGCTCTGTCCGCGCGGAAGACGACCCTCGACACCGCCGCCACGGAGCCGTCGCCGCGCACTTCGCGGAGCTGTGCCCATGCCTCCCCTGCCGCCTGTCGCTTCCGCAGCACGGCCCCACAGAAGGCCTCCACAGCCCAGGGCTCCGAGTAGCCTGTGCCCGGCAGCCATCCGAACTCCGAGGGGGCCATGGTGCGGCTGACGCAGGCAAGGGACAGGGGCAACTTCTGATGCACTTGCCGCAGAATGCATCAACAAGGAGTCAGAAATCGCTTCGAGTGCTTTTTGGCGAAATACTGGTTCGGAGGGAGAGGGAGGGACATCCAGGCTACTTTTTGACAAACAGACTCGCAAAGCCTGCGAGTCTAAGCCCTGATTCCATACGGGCTCCAAAACTCAAAAAACTTTGGCTTGCGAATGTTTGCCGCTTGCCGACAAACTAGCATGTCACGAGCGCTTACACCAGAGATCCCAGCTTGCAATCAGACTGAACTGCACCTCAAGCAAATACTAAATACCATTAGTCTTGAGCTCGATGGCAGCGACTGATTGGGAATTGACGCCTTCACAACAGTAGACTAAATGCATCCTGTTGGCCAGCTTCCAAGCGGGCAACTACAGGTACCGGAGGCGCCGGTAGGGCAAACTATGAACGGCATGCAAATGCAGCAAAGAAGCAAGCAGGCAAGTAATCGAAACAGCCATGTGCAAACAAGCAAGCAAAGAAGAAAGCGGCAAACACACACCCGACACCCGAAAACGATACAGAAGGGTTCTTCATGGGGGCTGAGTTTTTTTCAGATTCCTGGGGGCTGAGTTTTTCAGATTCCTGGGGGCTGAGTTTTTTTCAGCAAAAAACCAGAAAAAAAAAACAAAAAAACACACAGCCCATCATCTGCATCTTCTAGTTCAGGGCCATGGGTCTGTTTTTTTTGTTTTTGTTTTTCTTTGTATTTTTTTGTTTTTTGGTTTTTTGATGCCTTTGCTCATAAACACCAAGAAAACCACCCACAAAAAAAAACACGCAGCCAATCATCTGCATCTGCTAGTTCAGGGCCATTGGTCTGTGTTGTTGTTTTGTTTTTGTTCTTTTTTTGGTTTTTTTGGTGCCTTTGCTCATAAACACCAAGAAAACCAAAAAAACACAGCCCATCATCTGAAGACAATACTTTGTTGATGCTTTCTTGATGCAAGCTTTCTTGATGCAAGACATCAATAATATGATGAGATGTGTATCAACAGAACATAAGCCTCTTCCAAGATATTCTGCAGGTAACTCCAGGTAACTGGAGATAATTTATCTCATCTCTCATTTCATCTTCTGCAGGTAACATCTCATCACAAGCAATTGCTTGTGGCTTGTGTCTACTTGAATCTATTCTGAACAGCTTTACTGTTGCAAGAGCTCTTCAGCAACACGAATAGCTGCAGAGAATCTTATTCCAAAGCTCTTATTCCAAAGCTGAACAGCTTTATGCAGAGAATGGTATTTGCATCTGCAGATATCGTTGCAGGTGCTCATCTTTGCATCTTGTGCTTCTTGAGCTCAAGCAACTAGATTGGAGCTGTGCTCCAATTGCTCCAGCTCATTCTGCGATAAATATGTTTGTGTTAGCTGTCTTTTCTCAAGAGCATGGGCAGAGCCCATGCGTATACTGTAAAACATTGAACATCCAACTGTAAAAAGAGATGAGTCTTGCAGCTGAAAGCTGCATAGATCAGTGATATCTTACCTTTCTTATGATTTCATATGCGTGGCAAGCTGTGCTTGCCATACTTACGTGTTTCAGAATTGCAACACAACAATAATATTTGTCCCTAACATACATCTGCTTGCAGATTGCTAAGCATACGTCTTCCAACATATTGCGTACGTATGCAACTTGTGTTGAAGATTTGTGCCAAACATACGTCTTCCAAAAGTTAGCACCCTGAGGTTTATAAACTTGGCATGCGTAAGCATGCCAATTATCCAAAAATAAGCTACAGACACACGTTTGCTAAATATTTGTGTCCAACAATGATATTTGTGCAAAATAGTTCTCAACAGGCTGTCTTCTGTGCAGATTGAAGCTAGCTCATTTTCCAGGTCTGGATGCATCTGAGTCTTCATTGGATCGAAAATGAATCTGTGCTTGCATGTCATCAGCCAAAAAAACAAAAACACACCCCAATAAATCTAAGAGGTCACGCGTCTTGATCGTATATTTTTGGTATTTTTTAGTGTTTTTAATGGCCCCCAAGAATCTGAAAAACTCAGGCCCCCAGGAATCTGAAAAACTCAGCCCTAAGGAATCTGAAAAACTCAGCCCCCATGCCGACCCGCCCTCAAACGATAATATGCTACCAGCGTCACAAACATGACGCAGAAAACAGCACACTAAAATATGCTTCCCGTGGAAGTGCATATCCTGCCTCTTCTCAACAACTCACTCATTTGTCCTTGTGTTTGCAACGTTTGGGGCTTTGGAATGAGCGAATTACTGATGATTGGAATCGGGTTGCCCAATACTTACTTCATAGTCATAGGACAATATCAGGACAATACTATGTAGTTAGCTAGTTCATGTTGCTCCCTGTTCATCCCTCATATTGCATTTCCTCTTTCCAACAGCCTACCTTCCAAAACCAACAGCTTGCGGGTGCGTTGCTGGAGAAGGAGGGAAGGTTGGGGCAGAGCTTGAGGCATGATGTTTCTATGGTCTCAAGAATTGCTCTTTGCTTCCCAATAGGTCCCCAACCAAATCACAGGTGTGCGCAACCAGGGATCTGTTTTCCTTGCTCCAGGTCTTGGGCACTTGAAACTCGCCATTTCTGTCCCTTTTTGGAGAAGGCCCTGCTTTTTGACCCCTACCCCGCTTTTGGACCCCCAAACCAAGAGGTCTCAAAAGTTGGAAAAAGTAAAACCAAGGCCCCTCGTTTCGGACACTCTGACACCCTCTCACTTGCCCCCCGCCATTGGGCCTGGTGCGCTGAGAGGCTCAGCCGATCCACGCGCAGCATCAGCACCGTCTTGGGCGGTGGCGCCTCGAAGCGTTGATTTGTTCTTCTGGGCCATGGGCGAAATATAGCGCTACTCCCCAGCAAATTGACATGGAACTCTTTCAGCAGGGTCCCCCCAAAACAGGGTTCCTCAATGACATTAGAATTTGAGTTCCATGCTTGTTTGCAGGAGAGTATATCTCTGGGGGTTGGACGTGGTTGGACCCTTCCGGACCTGTGAGGGGAATTTCAACCTCCTTATAGACGTATCCAAGAACGGCCCTTGTATTGTCCAGCCGCACAATTGCACACGATGCACAGTCCACGGGATGTTCTGTGGCAATGTCAACACCTCTCGCTGATTTGATCTCATTCATCAATGCAACATTGGCAGCTTGGCGTCGTGACACAACATCTCTGCACACACGCACACACACACACACAAGCCTATCTTGTTTGACATCCAACGAGTCCGAACCGCCTTCTGGCCTGGGCAGACTTGTGAAATTGGCCATCGATGTGTTAAATGTCTCAGAATGAGCCAACACTCCAAAGGTATGCCAGTATGATAATTCAGTGGACATTGCGCCACTTCATACTCTCATCTCAGCTCCCCGCTGAAGCCAACAAAACATTCAAGCTCGCTAACAAGGCTTGGTTCAATCCAGCCAGCATCCAGTCAGCGCTTCTGTCGAATGTGGCACCATATTTCACCGGACTGGCAATGTCGACAATTCAGGCTGATAGCAGGCCTTTCAGCAAGGTTGCACCAGATTCCGGGACCTGCCTTTTGGTTGTTTTGAAACAACCATTTCCAGGGGCCAACATTCCGCCGGCGCATCCTTGTTCAACTCCTCGTTTGCCACTTGCCCTGCTGGGAGCGGGGCCCATGGAGGAGGCTCAAACCTGAGGCAAGGAGCGGCGATTGCCTATTCGCGGACGCCCGCAAATGTTTGGTTCTGCTCAACTCTTCCCAAGCCAAGGCATTGCGCAGGCTAGATGCGCCCTTGCTGTTCGCCAAGGCTTCATCAGCGTAGTTGCTACGCGCTTGTTCGAAGAACCTGGAAATGAAAGCTTCCCGCTTTAGGGGGCATGACTCATTGGGTCTGAGCATGGCAATTCTTGAGGCACGTTTGAACAAACATTGTGCCAAGTCCTATTTTCTCTGCATGGGAATTGCTGCCATATTACATCTGCCAAGCCTCTGTGGAATCCTGGAAGCCGCTCTAAGTGTCACGCTTCTGATTGTGCTTGGGGTGAGACCCTGGCACGAAGTGGTCCTGGCTCCGTCAAAGCTGCACGAAGTGATCCTGTTCATTCTGACTGGATTTTGGTTGATAGCGTTGCTTGCACCATGTAGTGACGAGGCGAGTTGGTGTTGCTAACTGCCATCAAGACCAACCTTATCACTCCATGGAGCATCATGGACATCCAAGCATGCCAAGCCAAACCCAAACCAAACGTTGTAAGACTCTCAAAATCGTGCCTGATATGGCCGTTTTTTGGTGACCTGTTTCGGTTGTTTGAATGGAAGGCAATGGGAAACCAGCCATTTTGGGGTCGCTCAACAGGCATTCCACTCGGTGGGTGGCCTTCTGCTGGCTCCACATCCCAACGTTTCCGTTCAAACCCAACGTAGCACATGGGTATGCGTCAAATATGGGGAGCTCTAAACAAGGTGGTTTTGCCATTGGTTTCCCTTTAAATCAAGCTAAAACAGGGGACACTAGAAGTCATCTTGCTTGTTGCAATTTGTTGCACCTGCAGTGACCAGTCGTGTATCCTAAGTCCACCTCAGTAACAGTTACTCAAGTTACTCTCGTATCCTTCACGACGCACCAAGTCTTTCGGCACGCACACCTTTTTAAGCTCAGCGCAGTTGAGGCGAAACCGTTCACTGTCTCATCGAGGCGGAGGTGATCAAAAGCAGGCCCTGGCATCTCAACTTGTTTGGAGCACATCTTGTTACTATGGAGATGGTTTGGAACCTATCAACATGTTGTCCAGTCCTCGAGTAGAACCTAAAGAACGGGTTGTTCAAGTCGTGCAGCAATCAGTCACGGAAGTGAACCAACGAAACAAAATGTGCAGGGATTAAATAATGAGGGAGTACCAAGGCTTAGCTCTTCACACCCTGACATGATTGACACAGCCTGCGGAAGCTATCCAAACAATTTTTAATTGAGATCTGCTGACCGCCCCTGCATCACACCAGTCCTTCTCCTGGGGGCACCTTGCACAACTTGAAACAATGGATTCCCCTCTTTGAACAATCTGAGCTGAAGAGTCGCTTGACCGCTTTCCCTTAGAGTCCGCAATTGGGTACTTGGACTTCCAGTTCACCAATCTCCTCTGGTTCCCACCTCAAGCTAGACGCCCAGAAAGGGATCACCATTCCAAGCCCGCATAGCAAGCTGACTTTCTAGCTTCCAAGATCTGCTCCCGCGTTCGCCTTTTACCACTCCATCTCCTTGGCCACCACCAAAGGCTGCAAGGCCTTCCTTGGGTCTGGCTTGGTCTCCAGGATCCACTGGAGCACCTTCTTGCATCGCCGCTTGGCCCTCACCTCGTCCTCGAAGAGTAGGGCCTTGAACCCCGCACTCTCCTGGGGCCGGAAACTAGGATAAAAAAAGGGAAAACACACGTGCAACAATCTCAAGTGACGTGCAGCCCCGTGTGCCCGCTGAGCTGATGCGCCAGCGTCTCTGTTTCCCTGCTTGCCCTGCTTTTCCCCATGCAAAAGCCCAGCAGAAACTTCACACTGTCCAACACCCTTCTTCTCGCCTTCCTACACTCACTGTGACGGGTGAGCCAGCCCTAAAACTCAAGGGCCAAATCCTGACAAGTGTGACAAGCTCGAATGTACCAGGAAGACACCAGCTTGCTTTTTCCGCCTGCCAAAGACAAATATCTTGACTGATTTGTCCTGAGGTTTTCTCCAAGTGCAGTGCAATCCGATCTCATCCTCGGCCAAAGGTTAAACTGCATGTTCAGGGCGGTTCAAAAAGAAGTGTTGAGTTGTTTGAACAGGCCCCAACCCAAAAAGAAACACCCCGGTAGCCAAGGATCCATGGCCAAGGACCACTCGGCGGCGCCATCCTTCTGGTGCCACTGGCCCTCCGCAACGGTGGACACACCCTCAACTACCTGAGGCACATGCGGAGTCCGGGAGGTGAGAGGGGTGGGGGGAAGGGGCAGCCGGCTGCCTTCTGCTAGTGGCTCTTGCCTCAGTGGCTGTTGGCTCTTGCCTCAGCGTCAGACTACGTATTGTGAGTTCGACCCTGGGGCAGCAGGCTGTTGTCATGTTGCCTTGTAATTACAGATCGGAGTTTCGGGTTTCCAGGTCGGGCTGGTTTTGGCATTTGAGTGTGTCTCTTTTTTTGAGGAGTTGTCTGAGGGCGCCGCATGTTTCCCTTCTCAGCACCCTTCACTCCAAGCAATGAAACTCACGAGCACCCGACCAAATCCGAGTCGCCAATAGGAGGCCGCGCTGGTGCTTGAGGCACCGTCGGGCCCTTGAAACCATCTCGATGCGCCTTTCTGGGCTCTCGAGGAAGGACAGCACCTGACCAAAGTCGAAGGGAAATGGCGCTGCTCCCTGATTTGTCGGCCTCCCGTAGTTTGCTGTGAAAACCGACTCCCTCCATTTGGGGTTGTTTGCTTCCTTTTGGGTCCCGAAAAAAGAGAGCTTTGACTACACCCATACAAATCAGAAGCTGAGAGAGGAAGGTTTGGAGGACTACTTTCCTTTTGGGGCAGACGGCACCGAGACGTCCATGATTGTTGGACAACGGGGCCGGGAACCACGGAGAATCGAGAGCTGGTTGGCTTTTGTGGGAAAATCCAAGATCAACTCCTCCCTTGAACATTAACAGGCAGCTCTACAAAGGGCCCTGCAAAAAGAGTGTCCCTCACACATTGGCATGGGTTTTGCGGTATTGATGTTTTCCAATAAGCGACAACAGGTCGACTGTTCTAATTCATGGGATCTGCAGACTTGGAATGTCATTATCGAAGACTTTCACGTTCACGCCATGAGGCTTGGCCAAGAGCTTCTCACCGCTTTCCGGGTCTTGTATGATTTGTAACGGTTCTCTGAACAGCGAGTCATGGTGAACAAAATGCTACGCAACTGATTGACCTCTAACGCAAGCGGTGTATAACATATGTATATATATAACATATAGATATATATAACATATATATAACATATATATAACATATATATAATATAATATATATATATATGTAACATATATATATATAACATATACATTTGTATAATATATATATATATCATACGCATATATACAATATATATGCACGTAATATAAGACTGCCTTGCTCCAACTGTTGGACCGCTCACCAGTCTCACTTATTTTGTCTGGCCTTTCTGGCATTGTGACCCACTCGAAACCGTTGCTGCTTGACCCTGGGCGCATATTATGTGTAGGCGTGTGTTTGTGTGTGTGTGTGTGTGGGTGTGCGTGCCTACAACACTATCATTCTCCGTGTCCAACACAACTGCCTATAGAAGCACAGAAACGCTCATGAACTTTGCATGACATGCTGCAAACTTGTTGTCCTCAAACACCGTACGATTGCTTATCTTCCAGATCATAAACACAACAAATAACGCTTGCCCATGCTTGCCCATTCTGCGCCTCGTCCATTGTATATAGTGCTGTCTGACTAGTTTGGGTTTGATGACATGTTCCAACGAGCCATAACATCATATCCCTCAATCACTGGTGTGTGAAATCACATGCCAGGATCAGCCCGGACTTGCGCTTTGCTTTGTGCTCGGCCAGGGACGGGCATCAAACTTTGATAGCATATATACATGAGGCGTTGCATGCTGCTTTACCACCTGCCCACTGATTCCGCAAGGGAAGCCTGACATATCCAAAGCTCACGGTCACCTCACCAATTGCGCCCAAGGCGCCAGCGACAGCACGACCACGTCGAAGGAACCCTCGACAATGGCCTGCAGCAAGGAAGGCATAATCCACGCGGCGTGGATCGGATTTGATTGGCGCTTTGCGATATGGATGCTGGATTGAATCGAAATCCCATGCTTGAAGGTCTAGAATTGCGCGCTTTCGGTCAAATGACTGGTTTTGCTTGCCGTGCTTCGGATTGACGTGTTTGATTGTTTTGAACTGATTCGTACGTGCCTACAAGCGGTGATGTTTGTGACCCTCTTCTGACCGCATTTCCTTCCCTTTTGGTCTTGAGAGCTGAACTGGCAACGTGCCTATCTGATTGACAGTCCATAGTGACCCTTCGCATCTGCAGGGAAGGTATCTCCGGAGTTGACTGGCCAGAAAAGTATGAACCTTGTGGCCTTGTTGTCCTTTACTCAACTGAAGCAGAACCCAGATGCAACCAGTGTCACCAGTATAAATTGGGAACTCGTTTTGGCATCGAACAATTTAGTGGGGAGCCCGCCAAACACAAAGGAAAAACGGGTGCCGCTAAACAACTGGCAAACACCTTGGACCCGAAACACATGTTGGTGACATTTACCAGTATCACAAGGTTGAATTTGCCGTGCTGGGCATGTGCCCAGGGCCACGGCTGAGGCGACTGCGAGTTGTCAACAGCTTCAATCACCAAAACGCAAGCAGGCACCAATGTACCGAGCGCCTGAAGGGATCCATCCTCACCCAGAATCACTGGCTCGTCCGCAGCATCGCCATCCTCTGCATGTGAATGCTCAACAAAGATCTGGCAAAACTATGAGCGCGCTTGTGGCTTTCAGCTCGCAGTTGCAATTTATTGTTTTCTCAAACTCAAAGTGGGGGATCCTGAACAAGTGGCAACCCACACGCCTCCTGGCCTCTTGTTTGCTGAGAACTGCATTGGGAAGGAACCGTACCGGAGGAAAGCTAGACTTCGGTTGGTCGGCAAGCCCTCCAGGGGCTGCGGTTGATCTTCCCTTCTGTTCACCCAAGGCTGATGAATCAAACATCGCCTGTCAGCAGCCCCATGTGGTGTGTGCGTGCTTGGACTCTCCCAAAAACAATCCACACACAGCGTACGCAGCCGCGCAGCCGCCGGGTGCGGGTCGGCCGAGAAGCCACGATGGGCACCTCGAAGAAGTCCCCTTGCAGCACCTCCGGCTTGGCGGGCTGTAGGTCCAGGCTGTAGGACTGCGCGCCGGGGCGCCGCGTTGCAGGTTTGGCTGGGACCAGGTCTATCGGAAGTCACTCGAAATGCGTCTGCACTCTAGGTGTGTGTGTGTGTGTTTCTTAAGGGGGGGGAAATAAAGCGCATT